TGGTTTTATATATAATAATGGTCAAAGACAAATATATAAAACCAAAACCCTACAGATCTGCAGCTAGGCCGCCACCTATACCCTTGTGTTTAAAATAAACACTGGATTTAATGAATCAATTTTTTGGTGTGGCTGGGGGTCTTTACCCTGGCGAGAAAGGGGTGCCCCCCCCCCCCACCTCCTGCCAAAATTTATGGATCAATCACTGTAACAAGTTAGGAAATGTTGAGGAGAAATTTAAAGGATTTATAAGGGGTCAATATAATTATTTTAAATGGCATTGGTATTAAAATTTATGTTATTTAGGCCTAAAGTCAAGTGTCCGATAATTTTTAACTGTTTTTGACAGATTAAAACAACATTACCTCATTTGGAAAAGAATTGTGGAGAGTTGTAGGGTGTAAAGAACATTTGGAGGTCACTGATTTTTCTCCATTCTGTACGTGGTTTTGATTTCCTTTAAAAAAACTAACATCCGCTTCCTTTAATTTATGATTGGTTATTATTAACCATTTGATTAATTTTGATAATAAATAGACCATGGGCTACTGCTTTAATAATGTTTGTAGTGTAATGTATTATTTCAACAGCTAATAATGTACCGTAAGGGACTGTGCGGTCTAAAGTCTGTCTTTATGAGTGTTATATGCATGCAAATAATGCTAATAAGTTTGTTATAGTATCAGCTAATAAGTATCGGATGGGGTGCAGAAATTTACTTTAAGTAAAATAAAGTAAATAAATAAATTTTGCTGACATGCACTACTTTCAATTGAAAAAAAAATAATCTTGTGAATATAATGGCAAAATGTCTGCTCTTTTTATATAATACAACAAATTATTATATTTCTGAAGTTTATGTCGACATGCAAGATGAAAATGTCAACATACAACTATGCATATTGACTTGGAAGGAAATTATTCCGGAGAAAAATTAGGATTGTTTCTTCGTATCAAATGTTGTCTATTTATAATTTCTATAATGTGAATTTACAATGTATTTGTGCTGATGTATATTTAATTCAAAAAATGTTTGTTGCAAGGCAGTGAGTAAACTTGAATATCCGGGGGTATAATAAAAACAACTAGATGTGCTGTGAGCACTGAGCTCACTTAATGATATACCTTTCGCCCCACAAAATTATAATGGCAAGTCTATGTTTTGCCTTGGAGACCAAAAAAAAGTGTCAGATCAAAAAGTAAAATAGGAGGTGCACAATGACATTATGTAATAAAGAATATTTGAAAGTATTATTAAATTTTATTCAGTGGTGTATATACGTAGGAGGAGTTGCGGATAGGAGATGGACACTTCAGTATTATTAAAAGAATGGAATTTGTCCACGTTTTGCAACGGGCGACCCAAAATATGTGTCGGATCCAAAAGTAAACTAGGAGGTGCACAATGACACTATATAAGTAAGAAAGATTGTATTAAAGTCATTAAATTCATTCAATGGTACAAGAGGAGTTGAGGATAAGAGATGGGTACCCCAAAGCGTAACAGACGTACAGACGAACGGACATCCCGATCAATATATACCTTCCCACTTTTCAAGCGGGGGTATAATAACCAAATCAACATAGTTTTTGGCAAACACTTAGCAGTAAAGTATTTCGACTGAAATATGTATAATAAAGATAAGAAAGGCTTAACAATCAGCCGTCTTAAAAAAATAGTTCAAAGGCCAATAACTCCTTTATATTTCTTTTTACTATATATAGTGGTTTCATAGATACCCAAAATGCAAACATTGTATTTAAAACATATTTTTAACTATTAATTTAAATTTATATGTCATTTGATCGAATATTTGGGTGTTTCAAAATTGACGTTTCGGGGCATATTTATGAATAGTGTTATTTACTTTTTGAACAAATCTTCTGTTTTACTCATATATGAAATTTTGTCAATTTATACAATATATGTGATGTATAATTAGATCAGGTCACAGGCAGAGCTACATTTCAGATCCTTCATGACAATGTTGAACTCCGAAGATATGGAATAAGTTATATTTCTTTTAATTCAAATTAAGAATGAATTCCACAGAGTCTGATACCTCTGTTTCACATTAGGATATTTTACTAGAATAAGACATTTTGATATAATAATTGTACAGCAAAACCTTAATCATAACCGTGATGACTTAAACCTTTCTATCGCCATCTTACCTTATTAATGTTCATGTAGCAGCTTTCTGGTAGAATGTTTTACAATTATGATTAGTTTGATATACGTTTATTTAAGTTGTTAATTAGTCTCTCTTTTTTAAGTTGTTTTGCGAAGAATATTAAGCATATGACCATTTATTTTGTTTCTCATTGAATCTATTTATACTCGACAATTTTTTGTTGCTTGCTTTATATCCAAGCCAATTAAGTATTTGTATCAGTTTAATATGATTTACCTCATAACATTGGTTATTGGATATTTTCAGCCACATACGTTATCCCCCTTACTTTATTAGTTTATTATGAGATCCAACAAAAACTGTCAATTTATTACGAGTTACAAATAATAAGAACATAGCATTATTTAATGCGATGTGAATTTTAAAATTTCTTAAAAGGAAAATATATAAAATATATGATAGATTTTAATGTATAGCGCATACAGTTAATGCGTGAAAAAAAATAAGATAAAATTAAACAACCATATTTTATTAAGTATTCTATTGTTGACGGGATTCAAAAAATTATCACATTTTTGTCATTTATTTTATCATCCGATGTTTCCATGCAGTGAAATAGGACAAAAAAGAAAAACACTGATCTTGCTCAAAATCCACTGACACAATATAAATCAGGAGCAGCTTAACCCTTTAACCTTTACATCATCAGGTGATATAGAGAAATAAGCCTCCCTAGTCGACCAGTCACATCCGACTGGTGGCCCTCATAATGATCATTTAGACAGACAGAAAAATTCTGTAGAAAAAAAAAACATATGTCGATAACTGCTGGCATGAAAACGTCAGCCAGTATGCAATGTATGGAGACTTTAAACTAGACTTCTGATATTCTTGTTTCAGCAACTTGTTCGTCAATAGTTTACCTCGTTTTATTAATTGATCACACGTAGAGCATACTCTTGCATATCGAATCAAATGAAAGATATAAACCCAGTATGGAGGTGAAGGTATATTGCCGAATAAGTACATGTAAGGGAAGCTAAAGACCGAAAATTAAGTTCTCATGTTTATCATAAAACTTGGTTGTTAGATTACCATTAATGTCCTTAATGTCATAAATGAATTTTACAATTAAGTATATTAGTTACAATTATCAATATAAGAAATGTTTCCCCCATGTTCGATTATTTCATTTTTCTTGGTATTGATTTCATAAGCATTAACCTTCACTTCAATGCCACGTGAAATCTATTTAGAAGAATTGGGGAAGAATTAATTCAAAAATATCGACATCCAAATATAAAGTTTCAGGAATACTTGATATTGGTCAACATTTTTTATGCATATAAATTTAGTGATTTTCCTGTTGCTTAATGACTCATTTTTTTCAAATTCCTGTTTTAGAAATACATGCATGATTAACTAGAGAAAGCAATTACTTAACGCATTATGATCCCTCCAAATCAAAAGTTTGATTGATTATATGTTGTTTTACGTCCGTTCAGTAATTTTTCACTCAAATACAAAGGTCACCTTAAATCGTTGAAGGCCTTTAAATTTTTTCCTTGACTCGGGTGGCCCAAGGTTTCGTTTGAAAGACCCGCAACTTTCATTTACTTATAAGCCAATAAATCTTGCAAAAGTTAAACTAAAGTTAACAACACAGTTTTATTTCATGTTCATATAGCTTTTATGCAATTCTACTTCTTCTTGACCGTAATCATTTTCCTGCAATACAAATATATGAACAATGTATATATTTATATAAAGAAGATATGGAAATGTTTAAGGTGTAGAAATTTAACATCTTATTGTAGAGATACACATACAAAACACAGTTGATTCATTTCAAATCCACTTTCAGAAAATTTCGTCTGATGGTATGTAAAAATTCACACATAATCATACGTGGACTAGAAAATCCAATTGCAGCAATAACTTATATTATTTAAATATCGTTAAACTCTGGAAATAACACTTAAAAAATACAGTGTTTCGCTTTGTATACATGATTTATCTTGTTACCAATTATGCCTTTTGCCGTTTACATATAATTTCAACCGATGTAAACATGTATAATACCTGATACTTCGCAAATAAAAGAATATTTTGTAAAACAAGTGTCATCATCCCACTTCCCTAGCCCACCATAGTTTATCTTGGCACAATGTTGTGACCTTCCAGCATTATTGGGCTCGCCCTTTGACCAGTTAGTAAACACGAAATGACCAGTGGAAAAGGATTTCCAATATCCCTCTCTAGCAATATCTGTTCCATCAATCCATAGGTTTTCTGTCAATAACGGATAGGTTTTTAAAAGACTTCCATAAAAAATGAAAACAATAGAGAGAATGAGGAATTTCTAATTTTGCTAATTACTGGAAATGAAAAACTCCGTCATTTTATTATTACCTTGTCTGAAATGACTTGCAACCCAGTAGTTTTCCTTATAATTGTCGATATGAACTAGAAATCCCCCACGCTGTCTACAATACATCTAAAAAAGCATATTTCAGAATTATAGTTTATTGTAGTACCCCGTAAATCCCAAATTCATTCCAATTGCTATTTGTTCAATCTTTGCCAAAAAAAAAGCTCTTGAACACAAACCTGAGCTTCGAACCAATTCATTCCGTGTCTAAAAAACGCATAGCAATGATTTTGGTATCTTTTCCATCCTGGTTTGCATCCTTAGAAATGTATACACATTTATACAATTAATGACACAAGTCAAATGAAAGAAATCATAAACCTAGGCCGGGATTCATGAAAGTTCTTAATATATTCTGAAGTTTAAAAAAATCACAAGGTATGTATTTTTTACTTAACTTTCATAAGTACTAATTAAAGTTGGTAAAAAACTTCAATGTAATTCATAAACATACTTAGCGCTTGAGTATTGACTTGAAGTTAAGTGTCCTCAGGAAGTGTCTTAGGTAGATACTAGCTTATAATATGAAAATAATAGTGGAAAGAAATTTTTTTATTAAGAAACCATGCTATAACATCTTACTAGAAAATCTTTTTGACTTTGAGATACCAGTATTTACTAACTGGTAAGATACAAAATAATGTGCAATGATATAGCTGTACATTTCAGTTATGATGTAATATACCTCCATGACCATCACCAAAAAGTGCACTTTTTCCGCCAATTCCCATGCGTTGCTATGGTGACTTGGCATATGTGCTCTAGTTTTCTCAGAATTTAACTAAGCTAAGAATTACATTTAGAGTTTTATGAATATGACTTAAGATTGTTTTTCTAAACTAAGAATTCATTTATACTAAAGTGTATTTCTTAGCACAAATCTTAATTATCTTTATGAATCCCAGCTCTGATTTTAGTAATTCCGTTTATTAGTAATTCTTTATTGTCTATTCTTCTAAACCAGGTTAAGCTCTTTGTAAATTCGAAATTTGATTTAGAAAATATAAAGTGTTTTTATTACCTCGAAAATGAGTTGTCTGAATTTTTTTGAGTTCCCTCTGAATTTCTTCAAGTTTGTTGAAAATCTTTCTATCACAAGATTGTGAAGTAGCTGAAAAAATAAAAGCCAAGACAATGAATGGTATTGCAACATTCATTGCAAAGTGTTGTGTTTTAAATTCAAAATATAACTTGTGGATAAGAATTCAATTTATATACTGTATGATGTTTTTATGTGATGTGATATAAAGTTAAGTAAAAATACACGTGCCACATGTAGCAGCTGTTCAACGAGTAGTTTAATTTTTTTTTTGCGCAAGTGTTAGCATGTCAATATATAATAACTAACAATTTTAAATATTTTATATTACATCATATTGTTATATATTAGTTCTTCCTTTGTATTTAGAGGCCTTAGAGGGAAATGGTAAATTTATTGTTTTAGAAAAGTAAAAGCATGCAAAATTGATTGAACCTTCTAAATATCTCACATCCCGTTTACCATTTTCAGAAATCATTTCAAATAGACATTTATGATATTTTTAAACAAGCTGTTGCTTGCAAAAGGGTTTTTAAAAACGTTTACTGACTTTATGTCAATTCGTTAAAATTGGAAGATTTGATAAACCACTATTCCAACATGTTACCCGACTCTTTGTTTTTATTTGTTTTGTCTCAGACAAGTGTCCACAAAATAGCAAAAAATCTACTCTCCACTGATTTACAATGCTTTTCAGCTTCTAGTAGCAAGCAATCTGAATGTTTTAAACAGTAATGATATACATGTATAAACTTAAGCTTAACACAAGCATGCTGTTTCTTTTAAGGTAAGTCACTCGTCAGCTTTTTAGAAAAGTTCACGCAGAACCTCTTACTTAAAAAATATTTATTAAAATTCAATTTTTATAAAATATTTATATTCAACAATGTAATTTTTTTAACATTCATCGAAAAAACTGCTTAAAAATCTACAAAGAAGCAAGATTTATGAGGGACTATTTCTTGTGGTGGAAGGATATTCAGCAGAAATTTCTGCAAATCTGCACATTTATTAAATTTAATGTCTTGAAACTTTAGCCTCACATACTTTTACTAGGAGAATATTTTCCGTTCTTATTTTGCAGTAATATTTAATATAGGTCTTAATTTATATTTTTAAAGCAAGTTTTACACCTTCCCTCAACAAACTTTGCCATGAAATGAAGTCAAGATAAAATTTAAACCATTTTTTGCCTGAAAATCACATATTTTGTCCAATATTTCAAAATTAACATCACTGACCCCAACTTTTTCTTTCATTATTTTAAACTACTCTATACTTGTGACTGATCAGCACTTAACTCTTAAAAAGCTTGATATCAGAAAATATTTTTTTGCCTATTTAGTTTTTTAATACCCCAAATATGTTATTTTTTAGTGCAAAAAGGCCATACAATAATAAACGCGCATTAATTTGCAAGATTTGTTCACTGATAAATATTATTCAGACTATTCTATGTAAAATAAGATTAAATTTATTAACGTAGTAACATCTGATAAAATAAAATTAGAGATAAAGTAATAAATCAAAGAGTCAAAATTTAAGTGCAAAAAGGTCAACTTAATTGTACCATAGATCAGTAAGATGCACACTGACCCCCTGTTTTCTCTGCGATTTTTAGTCAAACTATATGAGTACTTATAGAAAATATACTTCCCAAAAAATCCTTGATTTAAAAAATTTGACGAGTGACTTACCTTAAATAGGGATACATTCATCTTTTGTCATTCGACAGAGAGAACCGAAATTTGCTAATATATAAATCAAACATTTATCACGCACTCGTACGTTTCATATTTTGAAATCATGTTATTCAAAATATCCTTGTTCCTTTTTGTTTGCATTTTGGTGGCTATGATCCAGGCTGATGATAAAATCAATGTCGCAAAATTTGAGAAAGCCAGAAGTCAGCCACAGAGTTTTGGGAAAAGAAACAGCAAAGGTATATTTTAAACTCTGAATAAATACATTTTTTTTAATACAAATTTACGTAGTTTTTCAACTTCATTCAATTTACTACAAATTTATATTAGACAATTTTATTGTCTAGTGCCATCAACATTTTAGAACCGTAATATCAATGTACCTATGCGCTGTGTGCATTTCATTTCGTTCATCGATACTATGCTTTTAGGTAATGAAATGATAAACAAAAATGATGTTCCTTTCCTTTTCAGCGGACTAATTGGTAGAATAATTCTTATATTGTTAAACGTCAATTTTGTTGTTTTTTTCATTCGTACGAGACGTCCCCGTATGTCGATGATATAAAAATATACTAGGCACTCAGGTCTCTTGAGAAATGATGGGTCATAATTATCGGCTCCACGCTGACAGTAACAAGGCACCTCTGTTTTAAGGTCCCAATGCAAAGACCCTCCACTTTCACTTCAAACGCTGGGCGAGGTCAGCGGGTTAAAAAGTTAGAAGTAGATTCCGTTGTAGAAAATTTGTAGAAAGTAGATTAGTAAAACCGTTGATAATTAACGTTAAAAAAGGACAAGGTATGGTTACAGCCCATTCCGGCCCCTTATTTGATGTGAAAATCAGAACACAGTCAAAATTATTATAGTTTGTAGTTAAGAATTTAATCAGATGTTTGTTTTAAAACCAGCACAAAATTTGATTCCAAGCATTTATAGAGGCCGCAAGAATGTGTAGAAGTAGAGCATTTTTCCGAATTTCTTCAATTCTGTTTGAATTTGGTCATATTTGAGATACTTTTCACTTCGTGAAACATTGAGCACAGCCTTACTATTTGAGATTTTGATGCATGAAATGCGACTGATACTAGTGTATGGAATATCTAATTTGATACAAAGACAAGCTTTTGCTCTATGTTTTCTGAAGCAAAATTTGCTGTAAAATCGATGAAAAAAATTCGGAAATCTACATACTTTATGACCTTGTTGTGACTCCCCCAATAATTTGGAAGCAATACTCATTTTGTGGCAAAGGTGACAAAAGGTTTTTATCTATAAACTGTTTTATCATTCTAAAAGACATCCCAAAACAGGGGCCAAAAAGGTGTCAACCTATCTTGCCTTTTAACCTTTTCTGACTTTAAATAATAACCAAAGTGTTGTTACTTTGCAGAATTTATTTTACTTTTTGTGTCACCTTCAGAGCAAGATTTTACTTTTTGTGGTGATGATCTTTACGATGTTTTTTTTTGGTTGTTGTTTGCGTGTTATCACACTATTTGGAAATTACACGGTAACATGAGAACCTAATCCATGCAGAAATGTGCATAATGAACATCGAGAATATTTTACTTTGAACGTTTCTACGTTTTACTGAACCAAATTTAATATGTAGTTTAAATTTTGATGAACTCCTTTCTTTTCTCTTGAATTCTGATTATTCTTCTCAGAAGTTCAGAAATCTAAGTTGTCATTAATTACATGTAAAATACATATATGGAATGATGCTTGCAATAAACCAGACTTATTGCAATCAAAACAAACTGAAATCAAAATTTTTAAAATCAAAAGATATAACATTAACAGAAGACGAAAATCTAGGATTTTTTTTCAATTAGCGAGTGCAACAAGAACAGTGTCTTAGCTTATTTATACAGTATTGACAATACTTTATGTATGGTACATGTTGTTGGTTAATTTCATCATTATATACAGTTAGATTTATGATTGTAAATGTTGTCTATGAGATGTATGTCTCCAGACTTTAATAAACTGAATTAACGAAAAGAGATATTTTTTGTTTCCTTGATTTTATATATGTTTTTAAATGTTGACATAATTATTCAACATAATTAAACCTTTTCAATCTATTTTTCAAATCACTAACTCTGGATTGTTACCAGAATTTTGAATGATGACTGAAAAAAGCAAAGATGCAATTAATAAAGCCAAAATATGTGTATTATATTTATCTATTTATTAATAGATCATGTTGTATGATCTGGGATGGAGTTGATTCTTACGTCGCGGATTAGAATTCCACTGTGGGACATGGAGATCGGACCATCGGATCAGACCGTATAAACCGAGGTACCGTTTCGCAGTTAAGGTTCTGGCACAAAAAAGATACCTCACGGCTCAATGGCCGTCCACGCGAGTATAGCACAAAAATTGTAGCTGTCCAGGAAAGTGGTGTTGTCTCCATATGAGTGAATAATTATCGAAAAGGACGTAAAGCAACATACAATCAAACAATACAGATGGTATTTTTGCATTGACCAGCTGTCGATCAGGTAGCTCTTCTACATCCAATGAAATAAAATCACAGCTGCTTCCTTTGGCATGGGTATTTGTTTTTCAATATATATACATGTATCAAAATACCAAAGCTGGCCAAATCAAAATAACGTTGTTTATCGTGTAGAAGTAAACTCTCAATTGTTTGCCATGAAAATTTCAAAAAGTCTGATTGTTTTGGGATGTATTTTGTTTGCCACTTTTGGATCTTGTGAGTAAAATTATTTTAAAAATTTCATTCATTCAGGAAATAATAAGTATAACATTTAGCTTGATAAATGGTCAATGCACTATATGAGGTATTTTTTTTTTTACATTATTTTATATTTTTACTATAAAAACATCAAAAACATGCAAAAAAGTACTTGGGTAAATTTAAAAACCAACTCGATATTTTACATATTTCAAGGAGGTTTTTCTTGCCTGTTTCTAACTAGATGAAATTTTCAAAGGTTTATTTGTCTGTGTCTTACGAATTCAGATGTAAAAAATAAAAAAAATATATATTTTCTTTCATCCTCGGAAATTGCACATCTTAAAATAGAAATGATTAGCTGAGTTTGAAATCTAATAGGGAAAATATTTCTGTGGAGTAGCTGCAAATGAATACAGCTCCTTCTCTATTTGTCAAAATTGCTTTTGAATAATGAATTTAGTTAAAATTTTACACATTAAAGACTAAAAATTCTAATTTAACCAGCCTTAATATTCATTGATTGATTGTAATGATTTTAGATAGAGAAAAATATTCAATCTTTTGAAATAGAAGTTGGTATCACAAGATTGGTAACAGCATTATATTTAATTATTAAAGTCAATAAAAAGCTTAATGCTTCTAAAATAAAATTGTCGAATTGAATCCAATTGATTCCATCTCTTAATTATCTTTTTTTTTTTAAATTTGTGAAAATCTTCTTAAAATTTAATTTAATACAATTAATATATGTATAAGACGAATTCCCCTTTACATATTCTTTTGGAAACGTTTATGTTAGCGTGAATTTTATAAAAACAGCTTCTGTAACAACAATGTGATATACATAAGATTTAAGCATATTTCAATATATTTTTCAAACAATTTTTGAGTGTATATCTTTTTCTGAGCATAAACTTTATTTTCATTGTAGGTTGTCAATATGGAGGGAAAACATATCGAAATCATTGCTATATGTATTTTAGTCAAAAAGTTAACTGGTTTGAGGCCCAGGTTTGTGTCAAAAACATTATAATATTTTACGTCATTGGGAAACCAGAATCTAAATGAGTTATATATACATTATTTTTCTGTTTTAGATGCTTTGTCGACAACGTGGTGGCTATTTAGTTCATATTGACAACTACTGGGAAAACAATTGGCTTGCAAAACAATACAGAGGTACAGAATATACGCGTTTTTACTCTTATATTAGTAAATTCAAATATGATATTATTGTATGTTCATACACTTTGCTGGATGACATTGAAGAATTAAAGCATGTCTTTTTGATAAATTATACATGTTGTGGCATGCTTATGAACGCACCGCAAGGAAATAATTTTCTTTTTAGTTTTGTAGACACTTAGAGGGGTAAAACAGAAATATATCTTTTTTCATAAAGTTTACATTCTCTCAATTAAGTAAACCATTCTGTAACAACTGTTTACATGTGACATTTCAAACTAGGCCCTCGGCAGTCTCCATAAACTCCAATGAACTCCAAACCTGCTGGACGGAGGTTATAGAGAAAGTGAAACGTCTGGTTGAACGAAATTAGAAAGACGGCACAAAAAAAAACAAAAATTAGGTGGTAAAAGTTGCATGCAATAAAGAACATTTATTTCTATTTACAACGAAAATATAAAACGCCTTTTAGCAATTGCTATAAAAAAGTATTAATTATTTCATTTTTTGTTCGTTTTGTCATTTTTTTTAAAAGATTCAACAAATAGAGAAATTGTACAGTTGTAAAAACAATTAGATAACCAAAAATTGTCTTCCCTGCCTTGAATTGCATACTCAACCAATTTAGTTGTTGAAAAATTTCTAATCATGCAATTTTTACTAGTCACAAAAGAAAGAAAGTGCATAGTCCAAAGACTGTATTTAAAACTTCAACTCTGCTGCAGAAAAGACAGTAATCAGGAAGAAACTAACTTGAGTGGTATAAATTTGTAATTAAACGTTAGTTCTAGTGTAAAAATAACAATTTTTTAGATTACCGTTGGATTTGGATCGATGCAACTGATATTGCTAGAGAAGGACACTGGAGGTCGTGGTATACTGGTAAAGCAGTGTTTACGAACTGGTCAAGAGGGAACCCTAATAACGCGGGTAAAATTCAACACTGTGCAACGTTGAACTGGGGAGGCGTTGGACTATGGGATGACGATTACTGTTTCAAAGGACACCCTTTCATTTGTGAAGCACAAAGTATTTATGAAAATGTTTTTTACAGTATTCAAGTAGATATAATTATTTATGTAATATCGTCAAGCACGTGATCTTTCTCATTAACAACTTCTTTAAATCTGAAGCAACAAAAAATTCGTGTAAATTCTGGTTAATATAGTATAGTTTACGGTTATTTGTCAATACCATCAAAGATTTGTTCTCGGTCCTTTTCTTTATATTACTATATAACTTATATCTCCCATCTCTTACATGTATTTATTAACTTTGCAATCAATTTTTTGATCGGAAAAGTTCGATCTTAACCCAATCCATATACTACCGATTTTACTGATAGAATCTTGAAGATAGCGATACTTTATACCGGCATATCGTAAAATACAAAGAATCAACAGATGCTTAATCGTGATAAGAGTGTCCAGGAGCGCAGTGGTATCCCACTCGCTGCGATCCGAGTTTGATACCTGAGATTGGCAGTGGTCGTATAGAGAGGATATGTTGGTTGCCCTCTCGGACACGTGGAATATTCTTTTTCTCCCACAGAAATGACCCCCTCGCTTTAACATTCATGCAAAGAAACCCACTGGAAATAAGCTTTCGAACTTTCATTTGGTCATCCTTCGCATCATATATATACGAAATATCGTATACATTATTAAATGTATATTGTATGTATATACATTGTTTTTACATAATAATTAATTATTTATGTTAATTTCTTTCAGAAACTGAATGCTGAATGCGAATAAAGAGTGAAGATAAACGTACATGTGTATGTCTGAATAAATGGCATTTCATTCTATATTGCGTCTATTTTTTATTTTGTTTCTCCAGATGACATAATTATGTGCCTTGTAGCAACAGAAAGAAATGAGGTCTCTTTATAAATTTGAGTTTCAGCTGAATTTGTATAATTGATTCTATTCATATTCTAACAAAAACAAACTCCAGTAAGATGGAAATCATAACCAACTGTGGGACACGGAGACCTGGATGAGGCAGTATAAACCGAGGTCAAGTTGCAGTAGGTGCTGACACAAAAAAGATCCCTCACTGCCAACATAAGTGTCGAGTACAGATCTAAATTAACTTGCATCCCTTCACCGGCCAGTGTTGGTGTCTCAAAATTCGTTAAATTATTCAAATTTAGAGCAAAGTAAACACGGACCTTAATGCATCAAACGTGGGATTAGTGTCATAGATATGAAGGCATCCCCTTTCGAACAGTCATACCCGCCATGTGCTATTTCCGGGTATACGAGAAAATTTGATATGTACTAAAGTTCAATTTAGCGTTCATTACAAAACATCTGAATTATAAATACAGTACATACAAAATAAACAATTGAAAATCTTCCGATATTACACATGTACTTTTTAATCATTTGAAAAAAGTACGATACATTTTTTGTTACGTAACAATGGTTTTCAATGTCCTGAACACAAGTCTGGCGTGGAAACCAATTGATGTTCTGATAAAAACAGTGTACAAGTATTAGTATTATTTGCAATATACACATGGTCAAAAAAAGTCATTTGTCTATTTTTATCAAAACCAATTGCTTTCCATGTCAGGCTTGTATGCTATTCATTATTTCTGAATAGAGAAGGTATAGATAAGCAGGAGGTGTAATTATAAATTGATATAAATATAAATTAAGTGTGACCATTGGCTGATTCCACCACTATTGTTTTAATCAATTCGAACGAACTACTAATCGTCAGAAATCTCTCTCTCTCTCTCTCTCTCTCGATCTATCGATTCAGTCTAATTTTTCAAAATGATTTTATATACTAAGGGTATATTATTTCATTAGTAGGGGAATTTGTCGATGGTAAAGTTGAAGTCATTGCATTTATCATAAAGTTTGTTTCGTTGTTAGGTTTCCATTAAAATATCCAGATATGAAAAAGTTGTGTCAAACTTTATGCTATCTTTTATTTCAAGCTCAGTGGGATATACCTGGGTATGGAGTCGACATAAGAACTGAAGTACCTATTGTTGATTAATTAATATACGTTGTCTACATATCGAAAATTGAGTTACACTCATTTGATTATCTAAAGTACTGCGATATATAGATGAGTAGAATCTCATTGATTGTCTGTTGATTTTAATTTATTCTATTTGAAAAATGAAAAGAAACATTATTTAAATTTAAAATGATAGAGAATGTTTGTCTACATTTGATAGAATAATCATAAAAACAAATTTAAATCAGGAAAAGAATGAATTTATTGAAAGGTTAACTAATTGCAAATTGTTATTCGTTGCTTAAATTTAGTTTCAAAGGGATTTGCTGGGAAGGATTTTCAAATAAAGATATTAATTTGTAATGTACAAATAACATAGCAAACCAGTCTATTCATCTGCAGTGAAGTACAGTGTACTAGTATTAGTATTATTTGCAATATATTTGTGATCTTCAAAAGTCATTTGTCATTCTGACTTGAAATAGTTTTGATATTTGTTCCATCCCTCTTTGCATCCTATTATAAGTGGGAAAAATAAAAAGAAAATTTTATGGTGTTAAAATGGTATTGAATAAACGTTACTAGATTTGCCCTTGTGAGATTATTGACTTTCCCTACAGTAATACAAAACTACAGAACACGACCTTTCATGACTGGCTTCTGCATAAAAAGTGCTCGGTGTATACGAGGAGTTTGAGGAAGAGATATTTTGAAAGACTGTGATGGTCCGGGGTGTTAATAATCTTGAATCATGAATGTTGTTTTCTTGTCAAAATATCGGTAAAAAACAAATATTTGAGACAAATATTGCAATATTATTTTTATGATAATGTTCAATGAAGTATATACATAAATAAACAATCCATTTGTGTTAAATTACACAATTTCTCCAGCGTCCTCTAAAGTACTCTATCGTACTCTAGCGTACTCTGTTTAGTAGGACCTCCACTGCGATTACTTTTATTATTTCTAACCAATGAAAATTGTCCTGACTTTCTTAGAATACTGTTGCGTCATATTACCCATATTGCAATATTATTTCACGCATCACTAGACTATAGAACACACATCACAAGATTTGGAATATACGAGGGTTGATCCAAAAGAAATGTCACAATTTTGATAAAATTGCTATAAATCAACGTAGAGCAAAAAAATTATACACGATGGAAGCTTTATATATTTCAAATCAGATCTGCAAAATTCAACGTAATATGATGTATACTTTCTAGAATATCGGATTTTAAACAATGCGAGTTTATGGTTGTCGCCGCACCTAAATATAATGTAATATGACGCGGATAGGCACCGTCATACTTTTAAACGTTTCCCCTTCGATTCATTAGAAAACATTTGTGATTCGCAAACATTTTCACCAAATCCACTTTCTTTAAGAATTCTTGGTACCATTATATACTCACTCTTTTCATAATTAAGCCCTCTGTCAAAATTTTTTAACAGTAGCATAACCATAAGACAAATTAATAATTCACAAGTCACTCTGTACGTCTGTCTTTTTGACAACGTCAGACATCATTGAACGATTCCGTCCGATCTCCTATCTTTCGGTCTTCTTGTCCTCTGCTAACCATTCAGTGACCCATGACCCGCTAAAATTGCTGAAACCATCTATTAAGATGTCTCTTATTAACATCCTTTTTTCTGTAAGTCTGGTTTATCAACGTAACTGTCTCTTGTGATGATTCCCGTATTTTGGAGCAAAAATGCATTACAACTCGTCGAGCCGTTTTTTCCCCATTTCGACAATCCATTTGTTCAACTCAACAGAATACTAGTATAACAACAAGTTTTATGATAACAAATACCAATGCCGTCATTTAATTTTAAATTGAAGACTTGAAAATAACGAGAATTGTGTCTTTTCAAAAATTGGGAGATAAGGTGCTTGTTTAGAATTTTTATAATGTGTTTGTCTTTTTCATACCAGGAAAAAATACACTTTAAAACGTGACGTTCCGTCGTTTCGCGGCGACACCCCATATGCTACATGTTTTAAACATCTATAAAATAAATTGAAATAAACATTACTAAATTAAAATTGCAAGGTTAATCAGATTTATATTTTTGGATTTTTTGGTATATATTTTATTTGATAACATGATGTCAAATATAAAAGATATGGACACTGGGACATTACTTTTGGATCAACCCTCGTACATCACAAGATTATAGAACATACATCACAAGATTTCGAATATACATCACAAGATATTGAATACACATCACAAGATTTTGAATATACATCACAAGATTATAGAACATACATCACAAGATATTGAATATACATCACAAGATTTTGCACATACACTGTATATCACAAGATTATAGAATATAAATCACAAACTTTTCGAATATACCTCACAAGATAGATTTTGAATATACATAACAAGATAATGCACGAACATCACAAGATTATAGAACATACATCACAAGATTATAGAATATACATCATAGATTTTGAACATGCATCACAAGATATTGAACATACTTCACAAGATTTTGAATATACATCACAAGATTAAGAACAATTACATCACACGATCTTGATTATACATCACAAGAATTTCATTATACATCATGTGTTTATCCAATAAAGCAACGTTTTACACGCCATATTTGTCAACAAATTATTTTAATTCTTATGTCGACAAGATATATCCCAGTGAGCTTGAAATAAAAGATACCACAGAGTCTGACACACATGTTTCATATCTGAATTTTTAACTATAAAGAGACAATAATGGTTATCTTACAACAAAGATTTATCATTAACATGAAGACTTTAACATTTCAACTTCCCTTACTTGTGCAGCAATATATGCCTTTGCCACCTGCATAAGGAGTTTATTTCTTTCAGTTGATTCGAAACAGAAGAGCATGTTTAACGTATGAACAATTTCTAAAAAGAGGTAGGTAATTGACAAGCAAGTAATTGAAGCAATTATATCAGCAGTCTCGTTTAAAGTAATCATTTCTTAAGTTCTACGGTCGATACAATGTCCTTGTCAGCATATACAATTTATCAATTCATTACGTCAAGTGCTGACTTACGTTTTTCATATTGATTTTTAGATTATTATTTACACACTGAGTTGTTCACGGATTTTTTCCAATTCCCGATCATGACAAGGTGCACACGGCGGATGTAATCGGTCGGCAAGGAATGCTCACTCCTCCATGGCACCTAATCCAACCTCTAATGTTTTGGAGGTCCTCTCCTATTTTTTAATGCAGAATGGACTTTCGAGCTCGGATGTTGCTCGTTATCTCCACATACACCTGTATTTCATAATAACCAATTTTTGAAGGTTAAACAATATATTGCGTTACTTGAAAAGACATTGATAAGGTTTGTCTGCAAACAACGAGGGAAAAATTACTTATTCTCTCAAAGATATGAACAAAGGATACAAAGATGTTCTTCAAAATTAAACATCACCCCGCACGTCATTCTATAGAATGATATTTCCCCCAGAAGTCTTGCTGCAGAGTGAAACTTCCCATTCGGGGATGAAAGACTCTATAGAAACAGGCGAACCCCCTCCTCTGGAAGTATCACTCTAAAGACCTATTCTTCCAATTGATGTAAAGTCAGACATCCCTCCCAAAATAAGTGTCTCTTCTTTATTTGATCTTGCTTTTAATAGTGGTAGGGTCACAAAGCTACAAAATCTTTAGAGCGGTGCACTAACTGTCCTTGCATTTGCTGCTATATCTTTGATTACTTATTTTGACATTAGCAAAATAAAATTTACAGTGATATCTTTTATGTTTCTCAAAATGACGTATATATATTTAGATTGTTATTGACCATTTTTTCTGACCAATGAAAGGCATAAACATTCTATATCCACTCGGTCCGTCACTCTGCCTCTTCTCCCAATTACAACCATGGACGGGGGACGATTATTTTTAAATTTTATTATTTGCATGTACTTTCTTCCCTCCCGCCAAATTTTTGGGGTATGAATTTATATTTTTAGCGATTTCAGACAGATTTTCTTTTTTTTTTTGGTTAAGATAGTTCTATTCTCAGGTCCTTAAAATAGTCGAGAAAATGGACAAAAAATATCACCGAATTCTCAAAGTAACGTGTTTATATCCACGGAAAGGCTTCAAGCGTCATCATTAATGTTTATCAAACTATATAAGGGAAAAATAAATTTCAAATACATTTTCAGGTGAAGGATATGGAGATAACGAACAATATTTGATGTCAAAGTCCATAGAATCAATACAAAACCGGAGCAGAGAAAACATGGACCTCTAGAACATCAGAGGTGGGATCAAGTGCCATTTAGGAGTGAGCATCCCCTGGCAACCGGCACAACCACCGTGTGCTGCTTGTTATGATTGGGAAATAACGGAAAAATCCGCCATCAATTCAGTGTATAAATAATGGACTAACAATTAGTATGAAAAACGTCAGTCAGCATTTGACTCAATGATAAATTGTATTTGCTGACAAGGTCATTGTATCGACCAAAGAGACTTAAAACGAGACTGCTGATATTCTTGTTTCATCAATTTGTATGTCAATAATTTACCTCGTTTTAGAAATTGTTCATACGTAGAGCATAATGCGAATAGAAACACCTACTAAAATATATTTATGGACATTTATTTTTTACATTTATTTTTTTTTTATATGTTTGACCTATAATTTAGAGACAATTAATGTTTGTCTCAAACTTAGAAAAATTGATTAATTGATCAAGATATCTCTTCTTATCTTTTAAAAGATAAACACCCTTTGTTTTTTTAAAAATAGAATTCAAATAAGGAAAATTGAATATACACATTTATATATATACTAGATTTTTGATCAATAATAGCAATATTACATGAGGTAAAATATCAGTTTCATATAACCTCACGCGAAAATAAAAAAAAATATGACACCCACTTAAACACAAATATCTATTTATACAAGAAATAGGTATGATCAAATCTCATGGTGTAAGAATTCAAAGTACAATACACGATGATCAGCGTTATCGCCCTTTTTGTGTGCTTGAATTGGATTGCTCTCTCTTTGTCGACCAGCAGTGTTCTTGGATGCGACTTCAAAAGCGAGAAGAATTTAATGAAAAATATATCGGATCTTCAGCTGCAGCTGTTTAGTTCTATGCAAAAGAGAATGACATATATGAAGGTATATGTTTTGTATGTTTTATTGTTTTACTTTCTTTGCAAGTATTATTCATGTGATAAAATTACAGATTAAAGGTTCATTGATAAGAGAGATAACTCTTAATGACATAACTTGATATATTTGCCAAGTTAAAGTGTCTTTTTTGTCCAATTTTGCCCCGCAAGCTATGCTTTTATTATTTGTATTTTACTTATAAAATACATCTCTTTTGGAATCATTAAGGTTCAAGCAACATTTTATATGAATAAGCAGAGGGTTTATGAACCTTAGTGTATTTATTTTGTAGGAATATAATAAAATATTCAGTGAACTTATTGTTTTAATTTCTATATACACGTTTCACAAAATATTTCATGTTTAATGAAATAAAGCTAAGCAAGAAAATTTTATAATATTTGTGAGAGAAAAAATATGAGAAAGATAGAAGTAATATATATGGAGGGTAATTAAATTGTTTTTTTTTCAAATGAGGATAATTTGTATATACCTGACTTTGGCACTGTTTGAAATTAATACTAGTAATTTCTCTTTAATAATTTTGACCTCTGCGTTTGATTCAGTCTGCAGTATTTGAGACTCAGTGCAAAAGTACTGGATGTACCTTCAATGGCCATGATTCCGCTGATAAAACAAAAAATGTTGGACAACTTCGGGTATTTAAAGAATTGAAAGCTATTCGAAAGGAGATCAGTGGATTAGGAAAGCAAAAAAGTGAAATCAAAGGTTTTTTTTGTTTGTTATTCTTTGTTTCTATATATTACATGTTGCCACATTTAGAAATAAATTTAGAATTAAATTGCGAAGCAAATTGATAAGACCTAAGATCTTGTAATTTTGCAGTATGTCAAAATGGATGGAGAAAGTTCAGAAATCACTGTTATGCGTTCTTCCCGGAAAAACGGAACTGGTTTGAAGCCCATGTAGGAAAAAACGTTTTTTTTTTTCATTCAAAAGTGTTTTATTTAATGTAGATTTATTTTTCCATTTCAGTACTTTTTTAATTTCGAATGATATAAGCAATAAATTCATACATATAGCTGCTTATATACACATTTCTTCTTATTTCATTGATATATTTTAAGAGCGCATGCTGTGACAATCATTTCAGAATCTTTATATTCAAGCGGATATATTTTATAGAAATTCAATTAATTCAGTCCTTCAAAATGCCTTTTAAATCATGATTTTTTTTTTCAGATGTCCTGCAGACAACACGGTGCTAAGTTAGTGCACATTGGCGACGGAGTGGAAAATAAATGGATAGCCTCTCAATATAAGACTAGTATATTAATGTTGATTCAAAAACTACTAACAATGTAATGTTTTCATACAAAAGGGACATTGAATGCCTCCCTCTACTTATATTTGAATAAACTTAACAGCATTCCCTTTTTTTAAATATATCCTTTCTGTTTGGATGTGCATGGCTTAAGTTAGTGGGCAGCAATAACTCCTCAATGTAAGCGTGAATTTATTTTTGCTTATGATACTGTGCTGATTTGTTGCTCAATGTCATATAATTTAGTCATTCTTTGAAAAGTTGACAAATTTCATAATCATCATCCTGTGTCGAGGGTTTCAGATTGAATATGCCTATTTTTTTCCAGGATCCATTTGGGTTGATGCAACAGATATTGCAAAAGAGGGGCAGTGGAAATCGTTCTCTAACGGTAAAGCAACGTATACCAACTGGTCAAAAGGTAACCCCGGCAGAAATAGTCAACATTGTGCCACAATCAACTGGGCTGGCTCAGGGCTATGGGATGATGATCACTGTATCAACGGTTTGACTTTCATCTGCGAACAGTCAGGTATAACCATTTGCAAAACATTCATATATACTGTTAATCACTTTTTAATCACGAAAACTTTATTTTCGCGTAATTACGCGAGACAGTGTAATCGCAAAAATATAATTCTCGCGTACAATAGTATTCCTTAAGATTATATAGAGGAATAATCACAATTCGTGAAAATATTGTCTCGCTTATCAAGAGTCAATGACTATCACGCGAAAATAAGGTTTCGCGTAAATTTAGTGATCTACAGTAATTATAAATTTGTGAGTTTCTTTAATGATATATTGAAATCATCTCAAAAAGGTTGAAAATGGAAAAATACCAAATGAAATACACATGTATCTTAAACACGACTTACATATGTTTCATATATGGATGTTTAGAAGAGAATGGCGGTGATTAAAAACTAAAAACCGATCTTTCTAGTGTGTACTTTCCTTATTTATGTTGTAATGAACTATGATGAGTGCATCAATCTTATCTTAAGTTAACATTTTCTAATTATTTAGTTAAACATTGACATTGTTAGCAAAAAAAAACCCTTTGCTGGGTCAAATCTTGACTAACTTTGTACTACAAATTTTTCGGCTTATGTTTTTCATCTTGATTTGACTACTGATAACTCCTTTCCTGTCAGATTATGATAAAAGGCCTACGGCGGTGAAGGCAGGTCTACACGGGATGCTTACTCCCTCAAGGCAACTGATCTCAAATGCATATGTCAAATTTTTGTAATTTTAGCTAAGAAAACCCAGAGTACAAGATAATTAATTGAGTGTTCATGCGACAAAAAGATATCAGATTTAAAGCTATTATTATGTAGCTATCATATTTAATATCTTTATTTTGTTTTTAGGAACCGAATGCTAAATAGAACTGAAAGCTGACTGCAGTGAAAACTGAAGCCGAAACATTTTTGAATAAATAATCTTTCATCTCGTGTTTTGTCTTTTTCTACGGTATATGTATTATAAAGGGAAAAATTATTGAGAACTTTAATGTTGCAGTGATTTTATTCAAAATAAGGTAGTTTTTAACCTCGTTGTTGTGGCTATTATTTAATCAATAATAACCATATCTTTAACAATACGTGCATGTATGTAGTAAGCACTTTAAAATGCATCACCATTGAAGGAAGGATAAAACGTATAATGAATAAATGATAAAATAACAGTAAAGTCTTAATGAGTATTTTTCAGTTATCATGAGTTAATTATTATTTGATACATACTGATTATTGGACCATCATTTAGACACTGAATTGTCTTGGATTTCTTCGTGTATTTAGTTAATTTAACACATATTCTACTTTGTTGCAACTATAACACAGTGCATTAGGTTCACTTATTATTTAAGTCATATGTAAATAAAATGAAATAAAGTTTGTTTCTTCTTTGTCTAACTTAACGGTAAAGGTATTTATAAATAAAAAATATTCAAGTTCTGTATGTAATCAACAGAAATAAGGACAAATCAGGTGTCGCGACATGTCGAAATCACTTAAGTGGTCCTTATTTAGTCGCAACATTATTTTTTGCCTAACTGAGTGTTGCTGATTCAAGGTATATTCGTTTGCCCAATCATGACGAGAATAACGTAGCATTGAGGCCGTTCGGCAGGGAATGATAACTCCTCCTACCTCCCATGTGATTATAATGGCGAAGTCAATGTTTTGCTCTAGAAGACCCGAAAAGAGTGTCAGATCAAAAAAGCTGAGTAGGAGATGAACAATGGCATTATGTAATAAAAACAATTGTGAAAGTATCATTATATGTTATTAAAATGGTATAGTAGGAGACATGGATAAGAGAAGGTTACACTCTAATATTATATAAAATGGCAGCGTCCATATTTTGTGAAAATAGGAAAACGGGAAGCCCAAAATATGTGTCGGATCAAAAAGTAAAATAAGAGGTCACAATGGCACGGTGTAAAAAAAAAGAAAATAAGGCATATCACTAAAGAGAGTAGAAGGTATTTTAACATGACCGTTTTCAAACCGATTTTAAAAATAATTTTTAAAAGTTAACTGCTTCCCGAATGGATCTAGTATATTATGGCTATATTTGTAAAATATTACTGGTGTTACAGAACATTTTTCCCTGGTTTAGTTGCAAATTTAGAGTTAATGCACGTCGTCCGCATTGTGCAGTGGTTAGATCGTTTGCTCTAGAGTCGCGGTTAAGGGATTGAATCGTACGAAGTTTGATAGTTCGAATCCCTCTGCGGGACAATCTGGGTCTTATGACGAGACCGTATTCACTGAGGTTCTGTGTCGCGATATGTGCTGGTACTATTCATACAAAGGCTTTAAATGTCGAATTCTTAACTAAATTTGCATCCTTCCACCGGCAAGTGGTGGCATCTCAATATGAGTAAAACATCCTCGAAGGAACAAACAAACAGAAAAATATACATAACAAAACTAGAGATAGTGTTAACACTGACTCAACAAATGATACCCCCGCCTCCCATATGATAATAATGGCGATGTTCGTGTTTTGCCCTGAGAGACCCGATATACTAGTAAGTGACAGACCAAAAAGCAAAATACGAGGTGCACAATTACATATAACATTATGTTTTGAAAACTCTATGAAAGTATCATTAAGCTTAATTCAGTGGTTATGAGAAGTTGCGGATAAAAGATGGGTACCCTTCAATATTATAGAAAGAGTGGCAGTGTCCATGTCCCGAAATACGTAATTTTACTGATCAAAAAGTAAAGTATGAGATGCACAATAGCACTATGTAACAAAAATTCTGTAAAAGTCGTATTGAATTTCATTCGGTGGTGCAAGAGGAGTTGTGGATAAGAGAAAAGCGTACAGACGGACGGACGAATAGCTAGACGGACAGCTAAACGGACGAACGGACGGACATCTCAATCACTATATACCCTCCAGCTTTTCTAGTGGGGGTCTAATAAACAAAATAAAGCATGCATACGTTTGCAACTTTAGTCGTAATTACAATCTTTTAATATTATACTTGTTTTTTCGTAATATCCATATATTAACAACATCATCTGAACAAAAAGCAGAGGAAATGAGACATTTGCAATAAGCAATTATTCACTGGCAGTATGCAATTGCTATTTACAATGTACCAATAAGCAATTCAAAAACCACTCCATAATGCATCAAATTTAAGTCAAATTACGTATAAAAAAATAACTTAGTTAAATAGACATAATTATGTATTTTATTATCTAAAAAAAATGCATGATTAGCATTGAGCTTTAAATGCTACCGTTAATAATTTCATTTTGAAACAAAACGTTCTGAATCCTCACTATTTCCATCTATGCAAATACCTTCAAACTACTGTTTAAAAAACAACAAAAATGCAATGAGTTTCCATTGCAGTTTTTGATAAATCATAATTATTCTTCAATAAGGACACTTATAGTTCAATGTCTTCTCCTTCTTCTTCAGTCAGGTTTTTTTTCCCCCACCCGTTCATTATTTTAAACTCTGTATTCTTTATTAAAGAAAAATGACTTAAAGCATGCAAAGTAAGGAAAGTACTGAAAGCCGGACCGGGCACTAAAAATGGAGGATATTTATCTTGGTCTGACTTTTATCAGTCCATCGACTAGGTGTATTTTTGTCGGGAAGATATTTTAAAAATCTTGCAATGATATTTAAAATCATTACTTCGTAAGGCTTAGATCATAAGTAAATCGTGCTAATATGTCTGCTACATAAACATATACAGTAGGCTATCATTTTTCCAAAAGCACTCATTGTGAACTTTTAGCCTTCAAAGAAAACGGTAAATTATTTATAAAAAAGGCATTAAAAATAAGAAAGTAGTAAGTAGTGTCATTTGCCTAAAAACTAATTTCAAATTATAAATATTCATCTTTAAAATATAGTAATAAAACAGCTGACAAAAAATTTCTAAATACTTTCTGCAAACAATATATACTTTCCATTTCCCACTTTTCCAAGTGTCATCCTTGCGCTCCTTTATCTATTTTTATATATTTAGTATCCATAATGTCTCTCCAAATAGCGTTTAATTAGATAACTATAGAACCATTTTTTGACAATGAAATGCATAAACGGCTGAGTAAAATGGTATATATGCTTGCTTTCTAAACTGGTTTGCGCGTATGGGTCTATATTACAAAGAAGTAAGTAATATCTAGTTGGAATCAATTTAAAGCGATGAATTTCTCGGTTCCTTTGGTTTTGCTGCTCTGGATTTTGGCAATTGCTGCTGAAGCCAAAGACACTCACTTGATGAGAAAAGAGTTGTCTGCAGGTAATGTTAATTTTAATGCTTGGTCCCTCTTATCTTATTCTGATCGGTTCAATTCCCACTGTGGGACGTGGAGACCGGTCCTTCGGATGAGACCGTATAAACCGAGGTCCCGTGTCGCAGTAGGTGCTGGCACGAAAAAGATCCCTCCCTGGTCAATGGCCCTGAGTGCGGAGTATAGGACAACATTTGCAGCTCTCCACCGGCAAATGGTGGCGTCTCCATATGAGTGAAAAATTCTCGAGAGGGATGTTAAACAATATAAAATCAATCAATCATCTTATTCTAATCTCTCCGCAAAAATTATTTAATCTAAGGTTTTACAGTGTTTATATTTTATCATAAAAGACCTTTTTACGGAAGCCCGTTGAGGCCAGTTCAGAACGAGAAATATTTTTTATTGCGTATAATCGCAATATTTATTGCGTTTAATCGCAATAATTATTGCGTTTAAACGCAAAACATTGCGATTACTCGCAATAATCATTGCGTTTCAACGCAAAGTACTTTGCGTTTATTTGCAATCTTTTGCGTTTAATCCCAATACTTTTGAGATTAAACGCAATACTTTTTGCGTTAAACGCAATAATATTTTTGCGTTTAATCGCAATAATTTTTGCGTTTAAACGCAATAATATTGCGATTAAACGCAATAATTTTGCGTTTAAACGCAATACTTTTGCGATTAAACGCAATAAGTTTTGCGTTTAATCGCAATAATATTGGGTTTAATCGCAATGATTTTTTGCGTTTAATCGCAATAATTGTTTGTATTTAAATGCAAAGCTTATAATAAATACTACGGTCCGATTCTTTACAGAAGAGCCGTTTGGTTTTGTGTCTTTATGAAAATGTTGCAGTTTGTGAGATTAAGTTTAACAACCTAGCATCCTAACAACCAAGTTTCTTAAAGCTATTAGAGCCCAACACTTTTTACACAGCCATTTATCAATTCCTTAGGTATCACAGCTAATCAAGAATGTTTCAGTGATATTAATAGACAAATCAGTTTGGTAGAACACATCAGCCAATCTGTTTTCATTTGATTTATTTTTGATTTCATATGATTCCATCTCATAAATTCTCGTGTTCTCGTGTTTACTGTATGTTATCAAAGGAAAGGTTGTGAATATGTATATACATAATATGTACATATGCATTTTATCAGTTGTTTCCTTAAGCCCTTTATACAGGTACAGGCTTTTAAACCAATACCGATGATTTGACCATTCAGAAAATGCTTGTTCAGACGAATCTGATTCTATAAAGCTTAACAACACACAATTCTCCTCACAGGTTACTACATATCAGCTTGGGTCGATTAAACGCAATATTTATTGCGAATAAACGCAATAATTACCCGGTATTGCGATTAAACGCAAAAGTATTATTGCGTTTAATCGCAAAAATTATTGCGTTTAAACGCAAAACATTGCGTTTAAACGCAATCTTTTGCGATTAAACGCAAAGTGCTTTGCGTTTAAACGCACTGATTATTGCGATTAAACGCAATAAGAAATTATTTCTTTCTCTGAACTGGCCTCAACAGGCTTCCGTACCTTGTTTTATTATAATATATATACCATCACTCGGATATTCCAAGTTTCAAGTTTTTATTTAAGACAAACTGCATAGGATATATGAATACAAATAATACAAGATTTTGAGATATAAACAAGAATGCATGAAAGAATTGCGGATATGAAGTCTCGACATAAATTTTCCTTCCACACTTGTAGCTTTTTCATCCACTTTATATATCTATTATTTTTTCCTGTGCATCCATGACTTACTACAGACTGCAAAGAGGGATGGAAAAGCTATCAAAACCATTGTTATGCCTTCTTTGACCAAAACGTGAATTGGTTTCAGGGACAGGTTAGTGTTCTACAATTAAAAACTTCTGTTTAGCAATAATAATAATTCATAATTTGTTTCAAATAATCAAAATTTTAAGTATTGGGATTAGGAATTATTTGCCTTGTATATTTCAGATGTATTGTAATCAATATGGCGGAACTTTAGTGAATATCGAAAATTATGAAGAAAACGCATGGATCGCAACACAATTTACACGAAGTAAGAAATGTAAACCTTGTTTAAATTATATATTTAAGGTTATGTTTGGTTTTTCTTTATTATAGTTAATAATTTTTTTAAAAATCAACTATTCCAGAAACTTAATTTTTAATGTTGTTTTCAGGCTCCATATGGATTGATGCAACGGACATTGGAAACGAGGGAGTTTGGAGATCATTTTCCACTTGTCAACCCACGCTCAATAATTGGTCACCAGGCAATCCTGATAACTGGCGTGGATCCCAAAACTGTGCAACAATAAACTTTGGCGGTCCGGGAACGTGGGATGATGACAATTGCTTCACAAACCATACCTTTATTTGCGAATCGTTAGGTACACGTATGGACATTTAATTTTTTTTTAAATTGTTAAAAATACTTTATTCTTTCAATTCAAATTTTCCGCTTCAGAGGTGGTGACTCTTTTTCTTGGTCTGATATCCAATGGTTAACTGGGTAAACATCTCATTCAATGCCAAATCTTCAATTATATTTATCAAAATTAAAAAAAAGAAATTAATGATAAAATACTTTTTTTAAAAAAGAAACTTTTTACCATTAACTTATAAACTAGAACTGTCCAAACGGGACAAAATACCCCCCGCTGGGTTTTTCAGAAGTCAGTTTTTCCATAATAAAGATATGTATCAAAAACAAATTATGAAATTCTTATTCCAGTGACCTTGAACTTCCCCAAATAACCTGGGTCAAGGTCTTGACACACCCTTGGGTCATGGGCAATCTTTCAGTGAAATGAGAACCTACCAAGTTTATCCATAAGAAAGATATGGACCAGACACGAATTATGAAATTTTTCTACCCAGTCACCTTGAACTTCCCCAAATGACCTCGGGTCAAGGTCATGACACACCCTTGGGTCATGGGCAACCTTTGTGTGAAATGAGAACCTACCAAGTTTATGCATAAGAAAGATGTGGACCGGACACGAATTCTGAAATTTTTCTACCAGTGACCTTGAACTTCCCCAAATGACATTGGGTCAAGGTCATGACACACACTTGGGTCATGGGCAATCTTTGTGTGAAATGAGAACCTACCAAGTTTATGCATAAGAAAGATATGGACCGGACACGAATTATGAAATTTTTCTACCAGTGACCTTGAACTTCTCCAAATGACCTTGGGTCAAGGTCATGACACACCCTTGGGTCATTGGCAATCTTTGTGTGAAATGAGAACCTACCAAGTTTATCCATAAGAAAGATATGGACCGGACACAAACTATGAAATTTTTCTTCCAGTGACCTTGAACTTCCCTATATGACCTTGGGTCAAAGTCATGACACACCCTTGGGTCATGGGCAATCTTTGTGTGAAATGAGAACCTACCAAGTTTATCCATAAGAAAAATATGGCCCGGACAGGGAATATAAATAATTTTCTTCCAGTGACCTTGAACTTCCCCAAATGACCTTGGGTCAAGGTCATGACACACTCTTGAGTCATGGGCAATCTTTGTGTAAAATGAGAACCTACCAAGTTTATCTATAAGAAAAATATGGACTGGACAGGGAATATAAATAATTTTCTTCCAGTGACCTTGAACTTTCCCAAATGACCTTGGGTCAAGGTCATGACACATCCTTGGGTTATGGGCAATCTTTGTGTAAAATGAGAACCTACCAAGTTTATCTATAAAAGATATGTATTAAACATGATTTATGAAAATTTTCTTCCAGTGACCTTGAACTTTCCCAAATGACCTTGGGTCAAGGTCATGACACACCCTTGGGTCATGGGCAATCTTTGTGTGAAATGAGAACCTACCAAGTTTATCCATAAGAAAGATATGGACCGGACACGAATTATGAAATTTTTCTTTCAGTGACCTTGAACTTCCCCAAATGACCTTGGGTCAAGGTCATGACACACCCTTAGGTCATGAGCAATCATAGTGTGGAGTAGTATATTCTAATGTCCCTCTGTAAGAAAGATATAGACCGGACACGATTGCACAGACAGACGGACAGACGGACGGACGGACGGACAGACGGACAGACGGACAGACAGACAGACGGACAAGGTGATTCCTATATACCCCCCCAAACTTCGTTTGCGGGGGGTATAATAATTTTGATATTTCAAATTCATTAGTTTGTTTCATCCAAAAGCATGCACATAGACAACCGTCGCCCGCGTCTGCTCTAGAGTCACAAAGTACATGTAAGGAGTCAATCCTTACGTCGCGGGTTCAAATCTTACTGTGGGACGTGGAGACCGGTCCTTCGGATGAGACAGTATAAACCGAGGTCCCGTGTCCCAGTAGGTGCTGGTATGAAAAAGAACCCTCCCTGCTCAATGGCCCTGAGTGCCGAGTATAGGACAAAATTTGCAGCTCTCCATCGGCAAATGGTGGGGTCTCCATATGAGTGAAAAATTCTCGAGAGAAACGTTAAACAATATACAATCAATCAATCATGGACAACCATTCTAAAAAATCAATAATTATGCACTCTTCATTCCTTTAAAGAGAACATAGTTTTGTAATAAAAAAAATGATATCTTCAATTAAATTTATCCCTAATTCAAATAATAATCTCTATACTTGAAAGTACATGTACAATGACTGAAGTTTCAAACATAAGTTTGAATAATGACTTTGAGATTATTTCCTTTAACATTTTATTGAAACTAATACATATACCGTTGTACAAAAAATGTAAAAAACAAAACAAAACAATTATTTCATTAACTGCGTAAATATTCAATAAAACAAATGTATAATGCTAATTCTTCTTGAGTATCTACTAAATATACTATATGCAGAGATAAAACTCAAATAAAACCAATTTTCCTTTTATCAGAGAAATGGAATATTAATTCATATAAACTAAATGTTTATATATTTCTGGGATGGTTTACATATTGATATCATAATGTTTCATAGTGAAGATACAATTTCTGATTGAATTTCAGATAGAAAAAAAATGGTTTGCAATGTTTACACATTTGCTGCTTTCTCCATCATGTTCTTATTTCTAAGGAAGGAGGAAACCTTGATTCAATTTTTTTTCTTCAAAAAAAGATTTGTAAATTAAATGTACTTATTTACATGTAACTATGACCTATTTTTTAATCTTTGTAATTTACATGTAGGGAGAGGATGTAATAGCTTTTAAAATACCTCTGTAATTAACAATAGGTTTAAATCACTTTTGGTACATAGGTAATAAGAAATTTATGTCTTAAACACGTAGTTGTGGATAAGAAGATAGGATGATATGCCCCTTTCCTCGAATTATCTGCTACATTTCTGAAAGTTATATTATTTCCCATATATGTTTAACATCAAGACACTTAAACAGACAATGAGTGTACATTGAGTTTCAAAAATAAAATCCTTTAAAAAAGATGGAGAATAAAAAATATTAACAATTAAATACTGTACAGTATTAAAATACGAATCCATAAATTTAAATAAGATAGTAAAATTCCACTTTCATTTTTGAATAAAAACTGAAGTTTTTTTTTTACAAGTGAAAATCTCATACAACTTTTTATTATGAACTAATTCTAATCATATGACTAAAATGTACTAATCATATATTAACATAATCTCTATTGAGTCTGACCATATAAAAATCAAACAAAAAAGATGATATGCATTTTCAAACATTAACAATTAGTAATAAAAATATATACAATCATTTATATATTTGATAAATCTTATCATATGCAACATGAGTACAGGATATGTAAAGTTGAAAAATATATACTGTTGAACTTTTGTACCATAGCATTAACTCTGCATGTGGAATACCTTGAAGTACATAATTTAAAACATAAATTTGCCCTATTTAACAATAAACATGTATTTGCTTGTGAAAGCAATTTTTTAAGCGTAATAATACATGTATACATTTAAATTTTACCCAACGGGTGGTACTGTTGCTCTCTGGTCTCCAATTCCAATTTTTCAGACTAGCGAACTACAGTTCTATAAATTCAATACACCATTTATCTAACTCAAATTCAAAATTGGAAAAAAAAAACTTATCATAGTTTACTGATAGACTGTTCAATTATTAATAAAATCAGTAGATTTAGATTTTTTGTGATACATTAAGTATGTTCATTGCTACAAAAAAAAAATAGGATGAAATTTTATTACAGCTAAAACGGTTGAAAAATTTCATTATCACCAGTGACGGCTAAAAAATTACTTATTACTAAAATTCCTTGGAATTTTTTTTACTCATTATTAAAAAAGATGAAAATTTTAATATCATTTATACAAAAAACGCCTGAAAATTTTTTCTAGAAACAAATTCCATGATTCTTTGGGTTTTTTTTTTAAACATCATGCCATATTCATCTTTGCTACATTCTTTAAAAAAATAAAATTGGATAATATAGCACCTCAAATATGATTCTTTTCCAACAATTCAATGAGGTTTCTGCACAAACCGCAGCCATAAATAGCCTAAACTGCGAAAGACAATGGCAAAACCAAACAAAGGCAGCAGGTATTGCCAGAATTCCCATATAATGTCATAGTGCTCCAAGACCTGATGGGGGGATCTTTGTAGTGTTGGCAACATGACAGACTGGGTACGCTGACCAATTCCCTCCCCGCTGACAGCTGGGAGTAAAAACACACAAATATTGTATTTTACACAAATTCATTTTATATTCAGGATAAATGTTCCCCATGAACTTATTAACTGACTCAAGAAAAGCAAAATGTAAAATGCTGCTTGAAATTTTATATACATGTAACATTAAGAAGTACATGTAAATAGTGTACTGAAATAAAAAAAGATTAAATTTTCTTATATTGAAGTGTGACGACTTGAATTATGAATTTAAAATCTTACTCCAGAGGAGGGCCATTGTTAAACTCCAGATATATCAGGCAGTTATAGGAATAAAATATAAAGGACAGGTACTTCATCCAACAGCTGAGAAAAACAACATTGCAAATATACATGTATAAATATATCAGAACATTGTTGGAAAATGTACACTGTAATACATTTACAGTATAACAGAAATTAATCTTGATTTTTTTTTCTGGCAAAAAATTTTGCATATTTTTTCAAAGTGTAGCTCTCTGGTTCATCACCGAAATTCTTTCGACCAGTAAGCTACAGCTCTGCAGCTACTAGTGTTTCTAGTTAAAAGATTCAAATTACATGTACATGTACTACCAGTATATAACAGGTTAAGTAAAGTAAAAAAAGAGCATACCCAGTAACATGATGATCATTTCTATAAGTATGGTGACTGTGATAGCCTGTCTCATGTCATGGTTAATAATTCCCAGAAAAATTCCAATATGCTGCAAATGGACGAAGTTAATTTATATCGATATGGAAATGGTTTCAGCAATGTTGAATGTGAAGAAAATTTAATTTTTGTCTTTCATCATACATAGGAAAGAAAAATTTATGAAATTTTCGAAATAAATTTCTCTTAATAAAATCAAAACATCACGGATTTGGACAGTGTCCTTGAAAGATCTTTAATACTAGATAGTATTTAGCACCTTTCAGGTAGTTAAAAGCCGCTAGTTTTATTTACCTGCCCTACAATGCCATCTATGAAAACTGTTCCAATGGTGGCAAAAAATGCTTCAATTCCATTCAAACCAATGGCCCAATAACTGACCCCTATAAAGGTCAGTGGCTGTAATAGGGTCAGTGGGAGCTCACTGGTCATCTTAGCACAGTAGTAGGCAGACAGCCTATACCAGTCCGATGCCCGCTCTTTGTTGATGACCACTCTCTCCATTGGAACTGTCAGTCAAGAATACAGGTAAACATATCTGCATCATTTCATGTTCATTTCCATGTACTCATATTTGAATTTCAAATTAAAAGATGTTACATTTTTGTACAAAGTAGTTACAGGTAAACACACACTGTACTTCAATTCTATATAATATTAAATGTCTACTGATAATGTCTTTACAGTCCAAATTAGAGAAAACAAAACTTTTTTTTTTAATTCTGGGGCTTAATAAATCACTTCACTTTTAGTGAAACACTTAAAAATGCTTCACACTTTTAGCAGGAGTTAATTCAATCAACAAAGAGAATTTGTCTTTGCCAGTACTGCAAGTGTTATGAAATGAGAAGGAAAACCACACATTTTTCAAAGTATTAGCTTAATGTCAAACAAATCAACTACTAGTATATTAAAGGAGCATTCCTCTTTCAATATTCAATCTGAAAGTCTGTGCACCATGCATAAGAAACAAATTACACTTTTTTGTCCAATATCTTTTAACATGTTTTAAAATAGAAGAGTGATTTTTCCTTTAATTTACCAGATGATAAATGTTTACTTACAATTTGAATTTGAATCAGCATGAGGATTTGAGATACACATATTGAGTACATGTACATTGATATACAAATACATGAAGAAAATTTGTTTGGGACTTCAATTTCTCTCTAACATACTTTTCAGTATGGTTATCAAGATATAAATGATATTTTTAGTCTTATCTGTATTTTGCCTTACAAGTAAAAATGCATATATATATTCAACATGTTTAAATTTTGCAGAAATCTCTTTAAAAAATTCAGCTTACAGCACACATCCTATCCCAGTTTCTTCTGTCCTCGGCAGCTGGAACCAGATCAGGGCATAAATCAAACAGATAACCACATGTTCCACGATTTTAGACGGGTCCATACTTAGTTAAACATTGAGATTGTTAGCAAGTAAAACCTATCGCTGGATCAACTCTTGACTAGCTTTAAAATTTGTACTACAAATTTTTCGGCTAATGTTTCCATCTTGATTTGTCTACCGACAACTCCCTCTCCTCCGGCGTTGGAGGCAGATCTACAAGGGATGCTTACTCCCTCAAGGCAACCGATCTCAATTGAATATGTCAATTTTTGTAATTTTATCTAAGAAAACCCAGAGTACAAAATAATTTGTTGAGTGTTCATGCAACAAAAAAAAAGATATCAGATTTTAAGCTATTATTTTGTAGATATCATATTTAATATTTTTATATTGCTTTTAGGTACCGAATGCTGAATAGAACTGAATGCTGACTGTAGTGAAAACTGAAGCCAATTTTTTTTTTTGAATAAACGATTTTTTATCTCGTTTTGTTCTTTTTATACTGTATATGTATTATAAAGGGAAAAATTCTGAAGAATGTAAGAATGCCGGGGTCTTTATTCAAAATGAGTTAACCGCGTTGTTGCGGCTGTTATTATCACTTGAAAAACGGGAGGGTATACTGTAATCGTTATGTCCGTCCGTCCGTCTGTACGTACGTCTAGCTGTAAGTCCGTCTGTACGTCTGCCTATTATGCTTTGGAGTACCAATCTCTTATCCGAAACTCCTCTTATACCCCTGAGTGAAATTTAATGAAATTTTCACAGAATCTTAATGACATATTGCCATTGTGTACCTCCTATTTTACTTTTTGATCCGACACGTATTTTAGGTTTCCCGGCCATAGCAAAACATGGATATTGCCATTATATTCTTACATATTATATATTGCTATAGAACCTTTTTTCTGACCAATAAAATGCACAAAAGGCTGAGTAAAATGGTATATATACTTGCTTTAAAAACATGGACATTGCCATTATATTCTTATATATTGCTATAGGACCATTTTTCTGACCAATAAAATGCACAAAAGGCTAAGTAAAATAGTATTATGATACTTGCTTTAAAAGCTGGTTTGCGTGTATGGGTCTATATTACTAAGAAGTGATATCTAGTTAGAATTTTATTTTCTCGGTTCCTTTGGTTTTGCTGCTTTGCATTCTATCAATTGCTGCTGAAGCCAGGGAGTTTCGCTTGACGAGAAAAGAGTTGTTCGCAGGTAATGTTAATTCTAATGTTTGGTCCTTCATCTTATCCTGATTTCTCCGCCGCAATTTTTTAAAATTAGTGTAAGGTGAACAGTGTTTACATTTAATCATAGAAGACATCATTTTTTAAAGTAGTGTTTTATTTTTATATACATACCATCACTCGGACAATAAAATAGCAGACAATTGGCAATTAAATGCAGATGTGAAGTTTCGACATAAATTTTCCTTCCACACTTGTAGTTTTTCCATCCAGTTCATAAATCAATTATTTTCTGTGCATTCTTGACTTAATATAAAAGATTGCAAAGAGGGATTAGATAAGATATCAAACCCATTGTTATGCCTTCTTTGACCAAAACGTGAATTTGTTTCAGGGACAGGTTAGTGTTTTACAATTGAAAACTTCTGTTTAAAAATAATAATTCCGAATTTGTTTCAAAAAATGATATTCATAAGTATTAGGATTTGGAATTATATTTACCTTGTATATTTCAGACGTATTGTAATCAAAATGGTGGAGCTTTAGTGAATATCGAAAATGCTGAAGAAAACGCATGGATCGCAACACAATTTACACAAAGTAGGAAATGTAAACCTTGTTATTATTATTATATATTTTAGCTTATGTTTGGTTTTTCTTTATAATATTTAATATATTTTTTAAAAATCTACTATCCTAGAAACTTAATTTTTAATGTGGTTGTTAGATTCCATATGGATTGATGCAACGGACATTGGAAACGAGGGAGTTTGGAGATCGTTTTCCACTTGTCAACCCACGCTCAATAACTGGTCACGAGGAAATCCAAATAACTGGCGTGGATCCCAAAACTGTGCAACAATAAACTATGGAGGCTCGGGAAAGTGGGATGATGACAACTGCTTCAAAAACCGTACATTTATTTGTGAATCGTTTAATTAGGTACACTTATGTGCGTACGAAATTAAAATCAAAAGCCTGAAAGGCTTCAATGGCGTCGAACAAGAAAAAAATTTCAAAAGATCTGCAAATAAGTCAAGTTAGTGACTCCAGTAACATAATAATAAAATTTAAAAAAAAATAGTCTTAACACAAATACAGTATAGGGCCTGATATCCTTGTGTCCTGGTCCGAATGAGTCAGGGTTCGAATTGACTTAAGACATCGTCAGAAATGTCCATCCTCTATATCAAGGAATCTAATTTCTTTTCAGTCAATCGAAGACATATGAAGGTTTTCATAAATTATTTTAATTAATTGCCATTGTCAGAGTGTTGTTCTGTTGTATAGTGATTGCATCTTAACTATAACCATGACTCTAATGTTAAAAGTACGATCGACTTACGATAAGGCGTGGTAAACAAATGGAGGAAATGGATAAATACAGTAATACTGGCATTACTGGTCAATATCGTAGGTTGTTCAGCTAAAATTGGATTGAAGATCGTAAAAGTAAAGCTAAGATTAAGAAATTCAATCTTTATTGTCTTGTTGTATTCGTGTTTATTTTGTAATTATTTTACCGTATTTAAGATTGTTTGTATTACAGTAAGCGGTCCCAAAATGTGATTCATGTCATTCGACGCACCCTCTCAGTAGAAATTCATCCGCAACAACGATAACGTTTTTCTTGCGTAAAAATTAAACATAATATCGTTGTTTTGTAGTAGTATTAATTGAAGATACAATTGATTTAATTTTATCTTATATTCAAGCTATTATTCATTGTGAACGTTTTAAAAGAAATTGGTTTACAGCTGTTGCTATTTTCTGTTGCGGAAAAAAATGTTTGCATATATGACACGTGCGGTCGCGTAAACCTGACTGATCGCTAGATGACGATCGGGCAAGCCCGACGCCATAAAAAATATATATTTAAAATGAATATTGGTCTAAAACCTCGCATTCTTTCAATTCAAAATTTCCGCCTCAGAGGTGGCCAGCTTGGTCCGATATATAAGAGGTAATGAAACATATCTCAATCAATGTCAAATTTTCAGTTATACTTATCAAAATAAAAAAAAGAAGGTTATGATATAATATTTTTAAAAAATAGAAACTTTTTACCATTCGTTTGTTAAAATTACGCATATTATATCAAATATTCATTTCTTTATTTTTTTGGCTTTGTAGGAAATGCATGATGAATGCTTATGTATCCAGAAAAGTGAGACAATTTTTAATAAATTATACACAGAGATACTGTAAATTCGCTTGTTATTCAAATGATTTTTGACAGTTAATTGTTAACACATTAATAATATTGTTTTGATAAGATTTAAGTACAAATAAAGTATCGTTTTACACTTATTCAGATATGATTTGGATTTTTTTTTTTACGATTTTTGATATTTCAAATTCAAAAAGAACATCTCTGCGTAAAAAAATATGATATTTTCAATTAAATTTATCACTAATATTCAAATAATAATCTTTTTACTTGAAAGTACCATGGTTGAAGTTTCAAACATAAGTTTGAATAATGACTTTGAAAATATTTTCTTTAACTTTTTATTGAAACTAATACATGTACACTTGTACAAAAAATGTTTCAAAAAAATAAAATAATTAAATTTAATAACTGTGTAAATATTCAATGAAACAAAGATATAATCCTAATTCTTCTTGAGTATCTACTAAATATACTACATGCAAAGATAAAACACAAATAAAATAATTTTCTATTATATCAGACAAATGGAATATCAATTCATATAAACATTAGAATGTTCATATATATCTGGGACTGCTTACAATTATCTCAATGTTTCATGATGAAGATACATTGAATTTCAGAAGAAAAAAATGTTTGCAATATATAAAAAATCATTTATACATTTGCTGCTTTCTCCCCCATTGTTCTTTTGATTTTGAGGAAGGAGGAAACCTTGATAATTTGTTTATTGTATTAATGTGAAAAAAGACCTCTTTTGAGTCACAATACATTGATGCATTGAGATATCCCAATAATTATTTGTTCAAGTTTTTAAAAATAAATTATATATATATACTATATTTAAAAAAGTTACTACATGTAGTTACCAGCTGTCTACTAATGCCGCATTTCTAAAATTTACATTTCCTGTATACAGTATGTTTTACATCAATAGGCACTTAATCAGGTTATGATTATGCATTGAGATTCAAAGATAAAATACTTTGAAAAAAAGGAGAGGAATAAAAGAAATATTAAAATAAAATAATGTATAATACAGTGTACTTGAATACAAATCTGTAAATAAAATAAGACATCAAAATTCAAATTCTGAATAAAAACTTGATTCTTTTCACAAATGATAATCTCATACAATGTTTCATTATGCACTAATTCTAATTAATATATATATATATGGCTAAAATGTACCAATCTGCAATCAAGTATTAACACAATCTCTATAAGCATATTTCGAGTCTGACCAAATAAAAATTAATCAATAAAGATGATATGCATTTTCAATTCATAATCAGTATGAAAAAAATATATAATCATGTATATATTTGATAAAATCTTATCATATGCAACATGAGTAAAGGATATGTAAAGTTGAAAAAATATACCTGTTGAATTTTGGCATCATAGCATAAACTCTGCATGTGGAATGCCTTGAAGCACATAATTCAATTTAAAACAAAAAATTGCCCCATTTTAATAATATACATGTATTAAGCTGCGAAAGATCATTTTTGTGCATAATAATACATGTTATATGCATTTAAATTTCTCCAATTGGTGGTACTGTTACTTTCTGGTCAGGCATCCCAATTTTTCAGACCAGCGAACTACAGTTCTACAGCTTCAATATATCATTAAGGTATCTAACTCAAATTTGTAAATCAAGAAAAGGAAAATATATCATAGTTTACCGATAGACATGCAGTTCAATTGAAAATAAAATCTTGAGTAAGATTTAGATTTATTTGAGATACCGGTACATTAATAGCTGGAAAGTAAGCTCATTACTAAAAAATAACAGGATATAAAATCTTATTATCACTAAAACTGTTTAAAAATTTAATTATCACCACAGATAGCTAAAAAATTACTAATTACTTAAATTGCTTTGAAATTTTTACTTATTACTAAAACCAGATGGAAAGTTTCTTATTTATACAAAGAGCATCTGAACATTTTTTCTAGCATTTCTTCTTTGCCAGATTCATAAAAAAAAAATAAAATTTGATTATATAGCACCTCAGATATGTGATTCTCTTCCAATGAACTTCATGTCAGTGAGGTTTCTGCACAAACCGCAGCCATATATACCCCAAACTGCGAAAGACAATGGCGAAACCAAACAAAGGCAGCAAGTATTGCCAGAATTCCCATGTAATGTCATAGTGCTCCAGCACCTGGTGGGAGGGAATCTTTGTAGTGTTGGCAACATGGCAGACTGGGTATGCTGATCCATTCCCTCCCCGGTGACAGCTGGGGGGTAAAAACACACAAATATTGTATTTTAGACAAATTCATTTTATATTCGGGGTAAATGTTCCCCATGAACTTATTGAAAGACTCAAGAAAAAGCAAAATCTACGATGTTGCTTCAAATTTTATGTACATGTACCATTTAGAAGTAAATAGTGTACTGAAATGAAAACGAAATAAAAATTTCTCATATTGAAGAGTGATGACTTGAAATATGATTTAAATCTTACTCCAAGGGAGGGCCATTGTTGAACTCTAGATACATCAGGCAGTTGTAGGAATAGAATATAAAGGACAGGTACTTCATCCAATCTAACCAGAAGGGCAAATTTCTTGTAAACAGTCCAGCTGAGAAAAAAACAACACTGCATATATATAAAATTATCAGAAGATTTGTTGGATAATCATCCTTAAATTCCACTTACTATTGTTTTAGCTGCAGAAATGTAGCAACATGGAAAAAAGGCAAAAATTTGATTTAGTGCATTTACTTATGTTCCTAATTATAGCTCCATTTGCAAGACATTTAGAATTGTACTTGAATTAGCAGATATTGTTTTCTGCATAAGGTGCTAGAAAGAATACACAGCCAAATGTAATACATTTATAGTATCACAGAAACATTAATATTGATTTTTTTTTTCTGGCAATAAATTTTGCATATTTTTTCAAAGTGTAGCTCTCTGGTTCACCACCAAAATTATTTCGACCAGTAAGCTACAGCTCTGCAGCTACTGGTGTTTCTAGTTATAAGATTCAAATTACATGTACTACCAGTATATAATGGGTAAAGTAAAAAAGAGCATACCCAGTAACATGATGATCATTTCTATGAGTATGGTGACTGTGATAGCCTGTCTCATTTCAGTGTTAATAATTCCCAGGAAAAGTCCAATACTCTGCAAATGGACAAAGTTAATTTATACATGTATCGATAAGAAATTTTTCTATATTAATTAATTTTTTTTTCAGACAAAGGAAAAAAAAATTTATGAAATTTTCAAGAAAAAATTCTGTTTAGTAAATAAACACATTAACTGGTATTGATTACAATGGTGTCCTTGAAGGGTCTTTTGGATAGAGCTCCTTTCAGGTAGTTGAAAACATTATTTTTATTTACCTGTCCTACAATACTATCTATGAAAACCGTCCCAATGGTGGCAAAAAATGCTTCAATTCCATTCAACCCAATGGCCCAATAACTGACTCCTATAAAGGTCAGTGGCTGTAGTAGGGTCAGTGGGAGCTCACTGGTCATTTTGGCACAGTAGTAGGCAGACAGCCTATACCAGCCTGATGCTCGTTCTTTGTTGATGACCACTCTCTCCATGGGAACTGTCAATCAAGAATATAGATAAACATATAAATCTGTGTCATTTAATGTCATTTACATATACTAATCTTCAAATTTCAAATTAAAAGATGTTACATTTTGTACCAAGTAGTTACAGGTAAACACACATTGTACTTCAAATCTATGCCATAGGAAGATACAGGATTGTGATTAGGGGGTGTGTGTGGATAAATTTGTTGAGGCAAGGGGTCTGGGGCCACCTTAAGGCTCCAGTGGGTCCAGGGCGAAGCCATGGTGGGTGCACTGGGGGTGAAGCCCCCGGAAGCTCCTGGGTTTTCATGCATTTAAAAGAGTAAAACCAGGCACAATAATAGTGCTATTGGTTAGTTATGTACCAAAATATGTCATTATTAATATTAGTCATATCATAATTTGAAAATTTTAGGGGGGGGCGTGCCATGTATATAATGTTACATGTATAAATTATGTATACTGATAATTTCAATACAGTCCAAATTAGAGGAAAAAAAATCTCCTTTTTTAAATTTTTGGTGGTATCACTTCACTTTTTTGACAGTACTTCAAGTATTAAAATGAAATAAAAAGGAGAATCACATACTTTTCAAAGTAAGCTTAATGTCTAACAAATCACCTACTAGTACATGTATATAAAAGGAGCATTCCTCTGTATATATTCAATACCTAAAAAATCATCTACTAGTACAAGTGTATTAAAGGAGCATTCCTCTTTAAATATTCAATCTGTAAGTCTGTGCACCATGCATAAGAAAAATTTTATTGTTTTTGTCCAAAATCTTTTAACATGTCTTATGATATACATAAAAGAGTGCTTTTTCCATTAATTTACCAGATGATAAATGTTTACTTACAACTTGATACAGCTTCAAATAATGGCAAAAATCCCCAATGAATGGCAATGAAAAATATCTGAAACACATGTATTTAAAATACAAATAATGTTTACCTTTGAGATATAGCTAAACTTCATTAATTCAAATGTCAAATGTTATCTCAGGTCTAGGTTTGACTGATACATGCATGATATATGAGATACACATATTGAGGTACATGTACATTGAATTACAAGAAGAAAAAATTGTTTGAGACTTGCATATCTCTTCAACATACCTTTTAGTACAGTTTTCAAGATATAAACAAGCTATCTACCGTATATACTCGCCTATAAGTCGGTATTTTAAGAGTTAAATATTGGTCTAAAACTCTATGTCCGACTTATAGGCGAGTCATAAAAAGATTGGTATTTTTCTGGAGGCTGAAAGGTAGTATCTCATTTGCATTTCCGACGATTATCAAAGAAAGCATCTGGGAGTATGGAAGATAATTTATGTATTCTTAGATTATATATATAAAGTACAAGTATTTACATATTTTAATAATTTTATTTGTATTTTAAGTGGCATTTCTTTTATGTTTCATAATTTAAGATTAAACATCAGTGTCATTTCGAAAAATATTAATTGAAACCAGGATAAAACATCGATGGATTTACTTGCAATTATTACCAGATTTGGGCAAAAAAATTGTACCGACTTATAAGCGAGTCAATGGCAAATCCCACCAAAATTACGTCAAAATATACAACCGACTTATAGGCGGACCGACTTATAGGCGAGTATATACGGTAATTTTTTGTGTAATTTAATATTAGTTCAAGTAAAAAACATAGAATTTAACGTGTTTAAATTTTGCAGAAATCTCTTAAAAGTTCAGCTTACAGCACCCATCCTATCCCGCACAGTTTCTTCTGTCCTCGGCAGCTGGAACCAGATCAGGGCATAAATCAAACAGATAACGACATGTTCTACAATTTTGGACGGGTCCAGAAGTCGAGATTTGGCCAGCTGGAATGACCGTATAGTGAGGTAGGTGTACTGAGTTATGAATCCCGAGGGCCACTTTCTATCATTGTCTGTTGATAATGCAGAGATCTCATCCAGATCCATCAAACTAGCATGTACACTTCCTGGTTCTTAAAAACAAAATAGAATTTTTGTTTTCAAAAATTCTTGAAATTTAATTATCCTCAGTATAACATTTAACAGTACAAAAAAATATATAATATATTTAACATGGTTTTCAATTTTATTCTTACAACAATATACATGTAATACAACTTACTTAATAAGTACTGGAAATATTAAATAAATGAATATAACATATTACAGACACAATTAAAATATATCTCTGAACATTTGCTGTGTGCACGTGTACCTAAATAGTGGATTATTTTAAAAATAAATACTGAAGGACCCTTACCATCTTCATCAGACTTGGCTTTTTTCTCCTTAGAAAAATTGACCCAGAAAGATGGTTTCTTAGTTTTATTCTGTGGAGGTTTCAGCATTGTGGGAGACCCAGGATCATTATATGTAAAGGAATCAGACTTGTTATGAAGAGGCCAGTCTTCTTGTATTCTGCTGGAACAGTTACACAAGTATCATGAAAGAAAATGTTTGTGAGAAGACTTCCATAAAATAAACTCATGAATTTCCAAATCACTTAAGTTTCATTTGGTTCAGAATTAGCTTTGTATTCACCTGACATTTTTGGCAGCTGCTAATATCTTTGTCTTTGTATCTGAACAGTCCTTCATCTTTTCCACTAGAAAAATAAAATCAATAGGTAGTGGCTGAATTTTTGGTCTCTATGAGAAATAAGAATTAAGTAATTTTCTGCTTAACAAAAAACTAATTTGAAATACTCACAAATTATATCTGCTGGGTTAAATCCTTCTGCAATCTCAACACCAATGTTTTCAAAGTAGTCAACCATTTTATCTGTGCTACCATAGTATGCATTCTATTAAAAAAAAACATTAAAAGTTTAAATAATGATTTTTACTTCCATAAAAATATTTTTAAAAATTCTTTGCTGAAAATTTGCAAGTCTTTGGACATTCTCCAAATATATTTATATTTATTACCTGACAATGACTGAATAAAGTATAAATACATATTTTTTTAATTTTAAGATTTGACGGTTTTACATGTTTTTCAATTTCAATATTCATATTCCTTTGACCTTTGACCTACCTGACCCTCACACATCAAAAGGAGGCTATCAAAGGAGAAGAAGAGTTTGGAGGAGGGTTGATGAACTGTTGCTATGATGACTTTGTTATGTGAAGAGGCATAAGTCTGTAGCATTTTCACCAGATTATATGCAGTGCTGGCATCAAGTCCAGTAAGAGGTTCCTAAAATTTATACATGTATGTTAATCTGTTACTTTAATATCATTTACTACATTTTTAAAATCACTGATATCAAATATCATAACAATGTTTGTGGCATTTGAATGTAAGAAAGAAATATGACAAATTTATGCAGAGTAAGGAATATCTTCATTTGTGCTTTTTGAGACATTGCAACACCTGTGTGCACTTGTCCATAATTATGTGTTAAACTTTCTATATTCATAAGTAATTACAATTCTATGGAGAATAAGTCAGGCAGAATAATGCATAAAACAGTCAGAATTTCAAAGGCAAACACTATACAACTATTATAATTCTTCAGAGTACATACATCTATGATGTAGCAGTATAGTATTGTGAAGGGAACGGTCAGGATTTCACTGCCTCACACTCTATATAAGTTTTTTTCTTCAAATTCTATACTCAGATACTGTACATACATCTAGAAGTATTATGAAGGGATCAACCAGGATTTCATTGATACACACTCTATACAAGTATTACAATTCTATACAGTATACATACATCTAACAGTATTATGGAGGGGTCAGGCAGGATTTCACAGGCAATGTTGGCTCTCTTCCTCTCCCCACCAGACAGTCCTGGCATCATGTCTCCTCCAACCACTACAATGTTAATTAACATACAGTGTAACTAACTTTGGTATTTCTTACCCTGATATCTCAAATACCATGCTTACTTTTGAAGTTTAAGTGTGCTGGAAGTTTCAACCACTTTTTCTATATTTTAATCTTATCTCGAGATTCCTGATAACCATAACTCAGAGTTTCTTTTTTAAGCATGGTCTAAAAAAGTTTAAGATAACAATATTTGACTGTACATGTATTATTAAATATTTACATCCACTGAATATTTTCTCCTTTATCTCTTAAGAAAACTCATTGCTGTTAATCAATGCATGAACAACACTAGGCATATCATCTGTACAGATTTATTGATCAGTGGCTGTTCCATCAATGAAATGTTCCAAGACAAATGTATCAATAATACAATAATTAATCTTTTTAATCCTACTTAAATGATTATTTAAACAGATATAAATATAAACAATAAAATGTCTTTCTTTGGTTGTTAGTATGGGATGAATGTTGCAGCTATTGCAGAAACAATTTACATAACCCGCTTACACAGGTTATGTATTTTTTCTGCAACAGCTGCGACATTCATTCCTGTACTAACAACCGAAGAAAGCATTTTATTGTTTAACATGTTTAAGTCACTTGCAGAGCAAAATGACATGTAGGGAGCACTTAACCCAACATCTCTTTGAATAGAAATTTACAGTACTTATGAACTTCTAACAGTTATTAAAAATCTAATGCGATCTCACTTGTGTCAAGACAATTCTTCAGACTAAGGGCTTCCACAACGTCATCCAACTGGTTCATTTTATCTTCATAGCTGACTTTATCTGAGATTCTTATCATGGCTGCAAACTGTGGAAACAAATATGGAAAATCTGCCTAAGCCAAGATTTGCATCAAGTATGATTAAAAACAACAATTTTAAAAATAAAATAAGAACAATTAAAGGAAAGACATGATCAGGTACCCGAACATAGCCAGGAATACAGGTAAGAAAGTAAAAATATTAAAAATACTGCTTTTTTAATGATTTATATAAATAAAATCAAATGCAAAATGTATACAGATACAGACAAGAAAAAACAAGATTTATTAAAACTCACTTTTAAGGTCTCTCTTAAGGTCAAGTTTGGGAAGAAAATATCTTGTTGAAGAACATAGCAAATTTTTCTCTTGTGTTGTTTTCCAATATGCTCTTGATCTAGAGTTATTGTCCCAGAAGTAAGAGGTGTTCTTCCAGCTAAGGTGTTCAGTAAGGTTGTTTTCCCAGCACCTATATTTACAGAGAAATAAAACGTACATAAAATTATACGGTGCATGTTTAATAAATTAATTGATGAATATTTTTTTTTAACATCTTAAATTTTTCTGTTTACTCATGGATCTTCAACAGTCTTTAAGCCACAGTTAGGCCCTATCGATCATCCTAAAACTTTATTTTTCTATGAATAGAATATTAACACACCACTGGGTCCCATAATAGAAAGCGGTTTCCCTGACTGTGCCACACCACATACATTGTCAAGAATGATCTTCTCTCCCATGGATACTGTTATATCTTGGAAAATCAGTTCATGTCTTGGAGAGGTCTTCACATCTTTGACATTCTGACCAGATTCCTCCATACTCATGACACTTGTTTAAGTCAATTTTATGGAAGATATTAGAGCTCTTTCACTGTGGATTCCTCATGGGCCTAAAAAAAAAAATAATCATGAACATTGGTGATATTGTTTATTATTATTACATGGTAAACAGTTACCTATTCTAAAACGTAAAATTTCCTTGATTTCTTACCTCCGTAACGGTGACCTCGGTGAAGCTCACTCCCTGGCAAAATTAATGGCTTAGTAATGGATGATAACCCGTAAATATGCAATGTATAGGCCTACAACCATGTTGTTTCGCTAATAAAAGAAGAAAGTGACAAAAAATCCGACTGTAGCAATTCTCCCTAAAAAATAAATTGAAGAATTGAAAGATCAAATGTTCATTTTTACTTTCCTTTCTGCATTTAGAAGTAAATATGAAACGACATTTTATTGGTTGTTTTGTAGAAATTAAAATAACCACATGCACACCCTACCTCGTCAAAAGTAGAAGCTGTGACCTACCATTTTCTACGGGAGGTAATCCAATATAAAGTAAAAAAAAACATTACCATTAGGAAGGATAACTCTATCTATAGTCTGTTTCTTTATTTCCATCAAGTACACTGTATATACTGACTCTTGAAGGTTGATGTCATAATTCTGTTTCAGAGGTAGTTTGTTTTCCCTGATGAGGAAAACTTGTAGAAGTCATTTTTATAATAATCCGAAAAATAATAATCCAAGATGAAGATGGTGTAGACTTGTGAGTCCAAAAATAGTGTCACTGTGTTATACAATAAATATGCAAGTTGAAGGAGTCAGTTGATGATAATGGGAGATATTCCATGTTTTCAATCCAGTAGAAAGTGTAATTCCACAGTAATTAATGTTAAAAAAAAAGATATTTTATGTCTATACCCAGCATGAAGTGTATTGTTAATGACTTTAGGTCCATGTTGTTATAATCCAGTATGAATTGAAGTGTAGATTCCATATAGCATTTCATGCAGAAATGTGCAAATCCCTTCAACAGAGAGGTGAATTTCACAATTGCAACATACGTAATTATGTACAGGTAAAAATTATATCACATGGGATTCTGATATTTTGTTTGCCTTAAAGGACTTTTAACACTGTACATATCAATTGAACTAAATTTTTTAAATCAAAGCAACTGTTACAAATATTTAAATCAGTATGCTGCATAAAAGCCAGCACTTACTGACACTTACTTATAAGAAAGGGAGAACTTAAAGAGAGTCTATAATAATAAAAATACTAGTTATTTGAGGTAAATGAAAGCTAGTTTCCCAGCTGTTTAAGACTTTTTAAGATTGTGGAAAAGTTATAATGAAGCTTCTAACATTTGTAAATCCTTTCATTTGAGTTGTGAATATAAAAAAATATATTTTCTTGAATTGCATCAGCTTTTAGGGAGAGCTGCAAACTGTTTATTTATGTGGACCTACTTTTGTAGGATATGGTACAAGAAAAAATGTGAGGTTTATGCAAAAAATAAGATTTAGTATAGTGCGGAAAAACCCACGCTGACTGATTTTGTTTACAACAATTTACCAACACAGTCCAAATTAAGCTTCCATCACTTTGTAGGTAAAGTCAATGTATTGTAAGAAATTAGGCAGATTCTAAGAATTGAAGACAAATGATATAGACTAAAGGTGCATTTAAATGGCTCAAATCAATGTTTTTATCTTTATAAAATGTTTCTCCTCCATCAGTGCTAAATATCAATGAATGATAGCTATATATAAAGTGCAACATCAAATAGGAAAGAGCTAAAATTTATGTTTCTTATGAGCTAGGCTTGTTTTTGTGAAAAAGACTGAGATACATGTAATAATACAAAAGTTGATGCAAACAATTAGTATCAGTATAGTGCGGAAAATCCTGCGCTGACTGATTCTCCTCACAAAAACTTTTGTATAAAAACATTGTAATAAATTGTAATTTACAATTTTAAAAAAATGCAAATCATAAAAGAAGACATTTGATGTTACATCTGGCAAAAGAAAAATCTTTTTATGCAAAAGTTTGAGATTTTAAAATATATAAAAATCCTACTTATTAAAAATTGAAAATTTGTATTTTCCTGTGCAATATTAATATCTTTAAAGTACAGGCAACTGGCTGAATTAATTAAAAAAGTGAATGATACACATTTTGATAACTATTTTGGACGATTACAAAAATACAGAAAATATTGTTAAGGTTTTATACCTAAAGATTTGACATAGTTTCAATTGACACAGATTCTCATTTTTATTACTAATTTTTAACACCCTTGCATTGGAGTGGGAAGGGATATAGTAAGGCCAAGTGTGTTTGTTTGTACTTGAATGAATAAATTCTGCAATGGGAGGAAATGAAGAAAGAATGAATGTATGGAAGATAATTAATTTGTTGGTCTAGTCTGAATACAATCACAAATTATTACATAAAATATGTATTGTAAAATGTTCCTATATATACTTCATGTGATATAGGCCTAATATTGAAATAAACAATAAACAGCTGATTGGAAAGGGAGGTAATTTTGCAGCACAAAATACCACTTCTATATTTCAAAAAAATCTTTACCTAATAGCGCTTCATTTATATAACTTGTGATTTTTCATATAACTTTTGTAAACATTTCCCCACTTAAAAATCCATAGGTTGAGATAGGTTAAGTAGAAAAACATATGTAAATAATATTTTCTTGAGCCCAACATGTTAGACGTCTTTAGAAAAAAAATAATTTACATTTAATTTAATGAACTGTACTGTAAAAACATAATAGAGTAATCACACCATATACCTGAAGAAATTAAATTTTACTTATAAAGACAATGTCACCTACCAGATAATATCCTATCATAGGAAACAAGAACACCGTAGTGGTGTGTGTCTGTAAATGCACGGGTAAACACAGGACCAGCACTTCCGCTGATTTCCAGTTATCGTTCGTTAACTTCCCCTAGCGGACAGCAGAAATGCTACCGACTGTGACTGTCGGTCTTGTTTATGTACATAATTTAATGAACAATGAACCCGATTGAAATTCAGTCCTCATAATGGCTTATCGCTCTTTTTACAGCAGTTCGACAGATTTCGATTTTTTGTTGCAGTTTTAGTGCAAACGAAAAATGATTCTGGGTCTAATCTTCCGTCATCATAGCTATGATCAAAATATTACTGTTAATTCCTGTAAATCTACTTACAATGTCAGTTTCGGCATCGAGTTTAGTTACATGTAACTGTAACTGTTATGTTCGGGTGTTTAAAATGGTACAATGTAGATCTATAGGCATACGTTACATGTATATTTTAAGATTTATACCCTTTTTACAGCAGCTATGAACGTTTCTGAATGAAAATGGTTTTTATAGGATTGTTTTCGTCTTTTCCCCAATTTTGGAATTGGAATAAATGTGAGCATCTCATTTTGTAATATATGAGACAGATGATCATTAAAAAGTAAAATCAATTTCAAATTCAGATCTGGATGTAGCTTATATATTTATTAATTGTCTTGTAATATTTGAAACAGAAAATAAACAAATCTCTGTCAATATTTAATTTGCATACGTCTTCACGTCTTCTAAGCGTAAAAACTATAAAAATTGAAGACGTAACAAGATAGACTAAACCCATCAAAGTTTTGCTCTGGTTTTCTCAACGATGTTAACTTTTTACTGTACTGAATAAATGTATATTAATTACATTTGGCAGTGTATTCTTTTTGCGCGGAGTGAAACTTCCGCCAATTCAAGTACAACGCTAAATGTCTTGCACATTAATGCATTTTCGAATAATTTTTGTTGAGAGAGTGAATCTGAGAAAAAAAAAAGAAATGTTTGCAGACACGGGGTCGAACCGGGGACTTCCCATCATCATGGCATGGTAGTCTCTGGTCCATGATTGAAGATGTTTGATATCTCGCAGTGAAAGAGACACGAGTAGTACATTGTACATATCGAGGAGCTTGGCGATGTGTATATATCTTGTATACATTTTGTATATTCTATGTTAATTGCGGAGATTTTGGGGGAGACTAATTAATTCATCTCTTATCGGAAGAATTATCGACGACGGTCACCTGTTTCTGAGAGAACGTTGTAAATTCCCTTTTTTTTTGAAAACTATATAAAATAATTTTAAAACTATATACACGCATTTCAAAGCTAAAATAATCATGTGATTTTAAAATCATCAAAAAGAGGCATAGCTTAATAATTATTCTGTCTCTAGACTTCTCTTACTGGATAATATTTCATTGAACTAAATTAAATTGCATTACAACTGAGTTAGTTGGACAATAACGAAAACTATATGACAGCTGAAAGAAAGTAATTACAAGAACACGTTCTATCTTGTTTAAACTAAATGCATTTTGACCGATATCCTCGGTATTTTTTCAAATTATTTAATGAATAAGCTTAATTGTGAAAATATTTATAACTGTCAGAAAGAAAAAAAAATAAAAGCAATCTATCTGTTTCAGTCAATTAAACTGAATTTCTTATTCGCATATTGGATCATTATCTTTTATCATTCAGAGTTTTCTTTTCTAAGTAGATTTTCATGAAATTTGAAAATCATTTTCAATTTTACGAGTCCACAGTTTGACTTTAATTCTTAATATTTCAAAAATATATGAAGACATTAATTCTATTAGTTCTATAATCACAATTTAACATTTTCAAGAATTAAAGACATGAAGTTGAACATCCAACCATTACTAGTTCAAGGTACCCCAATGACATTACTTGCAAAACTATTGTGTTAAAAACATTCTTAATTGTGAATGCAAGTATTCCCGAGTACAAGATAATATTTATCTTAAAATAAATGCTTAAATTTCTAATGGACAACTACTTCTAAAATTTCTACACGAGAAGAAAAAATCTTTTGCCCACCTTCAATTTTTAAAACATTAGGATAAATCGATGACATTTTATTAATCAAAAGCATTCATTTTCCAGTTTTCATTCATAAACATGCATGTTTTCCACGTTGATTCGATCACTGAGAGAAATACTAAGTTAAAGATACCTACTAAGCTATACAAAGTTACTTACCGAGTATAAAATCTGCATTTACTAAAATTTTTAATGTTATCTAGTAAATCTACCCATGTCCAATACCTAGTAAAACTACTTTTAAGGTTACTGTAGTGATTGTATGGACAGTGAATTTACTAATCTTCTTAGTGACCTCAACTAGTTATTTTTTTTTCAGTGAAATATCACCTTGAATTTGAAATTAAAAAAAACACACCATAGAACCTGATAAATTTGTTTCATATTTGGATATTTTGCAGGAA